GTGGACAAGGAAAAAGAAGAAAGAAGATTGAACTTAACTGGGGTCAAATTGACTCTAGTAGGGAGTCCCTGCATTCAATATGGCGACTTCCTAATAGAGTCAGGCTGACTCCTTTTAAGACGTTCACCGGATCCCATCGTCAAAGTGTTTATGAAAGTATCAACGACGTTAAAGCTATTTTTTATTGTAGTACATTTTAAAATGTAGGTTATTGCGATAATGTGTTTAAAATGTAATCGATAGTTGCACTTCGTTCGATAGAGTAAGTTAACTCTTAACTACGAATTCATTAGACCAGGGTTTCCCAAACTTTTTCTGCAATGGAACACTTCGCAAACCCGGAAATTTTAACGGAACACAGCTTATTTTTTAGGTTGGGTAATTTCTACTAGTAAAAATTTAGAAAAAAATGTTATTAAAACACATTATTTATTTAGTAATTATTTTTAAATATAAAATTTTCCAGATTGTCGCGGAACATAGTTTGGGAAACCCTGCATTAGACTGTCATCGTTTGATTATTGTTTGCGTGTCAGTAGGGAATATCGTAGTCAATTCTGATTTAAGATAATACTCATTATAATATCGTTAAGTATATTTAATTTTTCTACGCGATCGCGTGTGCGAATCACTAGTTTATGTAAATGATCCTATCAAGGCGAGGTGTAAAATAACGATTATGGAGAAGAAATTTATCATCCTATAAAGATAATGTGTTCAAGCGTTGCATAAATTGAAAAATTGATTTTTCATGACGATGGATAAAGTAGTAGGGTACTACACGCACCCCAAGCGTAACACTTACGTATATAGGTATATCAGATAAAAAAGATCATCCGTTTTTCCATGCCAAAAAATATAATTAATGAATTAAATAAAGGAATATCGTAAGGATTAAATTGAAATTTTTTCCATGGATTACGTTTCAATATCAATCATGAGCGAAACTAATCTCTGAAATTGATCTATAAATGAAAAATATATATATATATATATTCTATTTCACAAAGTTAAAAACATCGACGACCTAACGTTATTGCACTGATACGTAATTAAAAAGAGATAGCCGTTCGAATGTATCGCAGATTTAACGGCAACACATTGCGTTACAACGTTGCCTACCGATAATTTCGCGATTAAAACGAAAAACGAGCATCCAGCAGTTCTTTTTCAATCGGTATGCAATAAACGTCCGCAACGATAAATTCGCGCCGGCGAAATTGCAGATTTTAATGCAGCCGCGATCGCGAACGGTAACGCACACGGCCAATTAGAAAATTAATTCGCGTAATTGGCATATCAAGTTTAATTAAATTTCATTAATTACATCGAACTGATTGATCAAATATTGTAAGCGAGACTACGCGTTGATTCGAAATTATTCCCAGCTGGCGTGAGATAAAAAATGAATTACTCTTGCTCGGAAAAATTAAAGAAAAATAGATACTGCTTCTCTCCTTTTTTATTTCAATTTTCTCAGGATCGAGCTGAGCAACGAAAATATTCGCTGATCGTGAAAAATAATCATGATTCGGCGCAAATTGAAATCTGAACGGTGCACGTTCGTTTGCGAGTTACGAAATTCCAACAGAATACGTTCGCTCTGTGCTCTAGATTCTTTCGCGAATTAAGTCACGCGAATGGCGAGCGTTCGTGACGAAGAAATCGTAATGTTTATCAATGTAACTAATCAAAATAATTGTGAACACGATGAGTACGAACAAGGAAATTTTCAAAGTTTCTTTTATCAATCAAAACCTTTAATTCTCGTCGCGTATCAACTGCGTTTCCTGAGGACAGGCGACGAACAATTAACAAATAGCTCGGTTTACTTGGTAACCAACGTTGCAATTAACCTGATTGAGAGTCAGAAACCGTGCGAATGCTAATGCTGTAACAAGATAGCCAGACAATATCAACAACCGCAACGGACCGGTAACACTTACAAAATTACCATCATTACGTGCACGCGTTACGATCGAACGACAATTCAAACAGACTTCTGTTTTTCATTGCCGGATCGATCGTCTCTACCAGCTGATTTAAAAGCATAAATAAATAACTGTCCGTGTAAGAAGAAGCTTGGTGAAAGAAAAAAAAAAGGGCGTCGGTAAAAATGTCGCAGTGCGACGTAGCTTGCGGATACGACGCGACTAGGACGCACGTGCTGATGCAGCTTGTGTACCACCTACACATTGTATCATTTTTCAGTGTGTGCGCGAGTATATTTGACAGCTCTTCGTTCTCACCCACCAGTGAAAGCAAAGTCTTAATAAATCTAATATGTTAATTTCCCTCGGTTACAAAGGAAATTGTAAAGCCCTTTATTTGGCCTCGTTCCTCCGCGCCGGCTTTTTCCCTAAAGAAGACTAGCATGCTCAGCATTGTACACTCGAGTGCAGGGTAGGCTTCCCTTAGCTAAGGGTGAGTAATCGCTTACCTTCGGTCTTAGGAGAACCTAGGAAGATCTTAAGAACTTACATGACTAGATAATAACTCCTCTTAACTGAGATATTAAATCCTTAAATATTTTAGGATCAGCCTATCCGATCGTCTCCTCTCGTCGCGTATATAATTAAACGGTTAATTAAGCAAAATTTTACCCCCGCTTATTTCCCTATATCAATCATCTACAATAGAGAAGGAAGAATGGAAATGTTCATCTGTTGATGGAACAAAAGAATGATACCGGGTCGGGACAAAAGAGATATGACATGGCAAAGGCGGAAAAGGGAAAGCAAGAGACAAGCAGAGGTACATAGAACAGCGAAACGAAGCTGGCTGACACAGAGAATTTATAGCGTTTGCAGATATAGCGGTAATACACGCGTAGTCGATTACAATGCCCGCGATGGTAGCAGGCAGCCGCACTCGTACAGCCGATCATGTGTCTGGGGCTTGTACCGCAATCGGGCTCATTGTCTGGGGGACAAGAGTGCCCTGGGTACAAAGCATCTACCTAGCTACTACTAGCTGCATGTAACCAACAGCAGCAGCGGCAGCAGCAGCAGCAGCAGCAGCAACAACAACAGCGGCAAAGCTTTGGAGAACGTGTGCAACGGCAAGGGGTCCGAGCATCGTTCAGCCACGATGTGACTAGACAATCTAGTGTAAATAGGGGACAACGAGGCACGTGTAGGTTCGGTGGTTACGTGGCGATCTCGCGTTTCGAACCCTGCAAATCATCGGACGGATTCGATGATACCAACGGAGATTCAAATTGTCGGGCTAATACGATTACGAAGCTTCGGGCGTGGTGAAGGTCTCTCGATACTGGCTAATAGAGGCAGACTTGTTTCACCAGATAGAGACGCGATTGACTGTTTGGGTTTTAAGCCGATTGCCCGAAAACGTTTCTTCGCTAATCTGACTGCATCGATTGCTGGCTAGCTGCGACGAGAATTACACCTGACTACGTTTCTTCGTCTTAACCGAGGGATACGAGCCGATCGGAAACGTTGAATCGAAAATGACGGGGATAATCGTCCGAGAGGATTATTCGATCGAGCTTGAATTTTTCTCGGCTGTGTTTCCGAATGGCCCCATCAAAATTGAGAACTCAGGTTCGGTATATAACCTAAATTGACTGCAAGAAAGCGATTAAAGTTGATTTTAGAACTGGATGTCTTACCGTTTTAGAGATATCGTGGTTAGGTTAGATTAGGTTAGGTTCTGTGTATGCGCAGTATCGAATAGCGCATGTGCAGTATTGAATAGCGCATGCTCAGTATCGAATAGCTCATACGTAGTCCCAAAATTGTACAAAAATTTCTTACCACGATATCTCAAAAACGGTAAGACATCCAGTTCTGAAACCAATTTTAATCGATTTCTGGTAGTCAATTTAGGTTATATACCGAACCTGAGTTCTCAATTTTTGTGAGGCCATTCGGAAACTATACAAAATTGTAAGAAATTGTACCATGATATCCCAAAAACGGTAAGACATTCAGTTCTGAAACCAATTTTAATCGGTTTCTGGTAGTCAATTTAGGTTATATACCGAACCTGAGTTCTCAATTTTGGCGGGGCCATTCGGAAACTTATCCTTTTTCTCGGTCACCGTAATTCATTAACGCGACGATTCATCAAAATCAAGGGGTTAGAAGAACCCTTCCGATAACTGGATAGCTGAAAAATCACTCGACCCGTAGCCTTAATATCTCCCCGTCCCTTTGGATGATTCTCTCGAGCATTTCCGTTTTCCGTGGTTCTTCTTGGTCATTAAGCACGAGACATCGGAAGATAACGCCTCCTTAAAACCCCATCAACGTTAAAGCTCGAGGGAAAGATTGTCGCTTTCGGTTACTTTGTCACGTTGCAAGTTTCTCGTTAGCGAAGTTTTGGAAATAGCGTCTCACGGTCGACGTACACGTCTGCAGGTAGCGGTGCGGGAACTTCTATCGAGGAAACTTGCCGCACCGAGCTTTGCCGTCTCGATAAAAGATACTCCACGAATACTGGACATTCGAGAAAACATTCTGCTCTCAGAAATTACCTTTACCAACGATCGTGAAACACGACAAACTTTTCTTTCCACTTTGATTATCTAGAATGACTTTCAACGTTCCAGCCTTGTTATCGAATCAGGGAAAAATTAGCAGACCGTACACGGTATCGATCGAACCGCTATTTGCGTGTAATTAATCTATCGTGATAACAGTGGCGACTGTAAACTGCACTATCAAAGTATAATGAGTCAATGGCGAGGCAGCTTTACCTCGTAATATACTAATCCCGTGGAACGACCTGTTTCATTATTGATACTAAACGCATCGATCAAAATACTCGATCGGTGAATATTAAATGAGTTTTCCATTAACCGACTACCTGTAATTTCTACGCTGATCGCGAACACTGGAACGTGATATTAATCTAGCTCCATTTCAATCGCTAAAATAATACGATTACCATTGAAATCTGGCACAGAGGAATCGCGCTATCGTCCTGCAACTTATTCGCATCTGTTTGTTAATCCGTTTCTCCATGTTCGATTGCAGTATAACATAAAGAAGCGAGAAGAGGTACAGGAAATGACCCAAGAAGAGCCTAACCCTTTGATGCGTAAGAAGAAGACGCCAGAGGAGTTGGCTGCGGAAGCTGAAGCGGAAGACGAGGACGAGATTACAAGTACGTAAATCTATATTTTCTTCCGTTGAACAGGTAATTCGAAGGAGATTCGAATTTAATGCCACTCGATATTATTCGAATTGAATCGGTTCGTTGGTCTCGGCGCAGGATGGTCAGAGGTATCGTGAAACAGGGTTAAGGGAACGGAGAATTGCAAATTCACGGTATACGTTGAGAGAGTAGCTGTCCGACGAATTAATGCGACGGTGCTCAGACACGGCAGGGGGGTGATCGATGAAGGGTTAACGAGCCGTGGCTAGAAATCAAACAGCTCTACCCTCTATATACGGTTTTCTTGGTGGATCCTTGTGCCGTTGCATGCCACCGATCTCTATCATTTCGTTGCCAGTATTCGCATTTTCACAGTCGTCCAATTTCTGCTATTAACTTCCAAGGAATACCCGAAGGCTTAACCCTCGCGTTTCGCGAGCACGGAGGCTATACAGGCTGTTAAAAAATTCCCTGAACCTCTACATCGTTGAATAGATCGCGAAAAATCGAAACGAAAAGTTCTGTAGCATTTTTCGATGGGATCAGTAGTTTAGCCACATTTCGTTGTTGAAAATTGACCAATCAGCGCGCAGCTTGAATGGCAAGACCCGCGGAGTAGGGGACTAACCTCCTCTGCGCGCCGAACCACGCTGAGAGTTCCGCGTGTCTTGCCACTCCTACTCCGCGTTGATTGGTCAATTTTCAACAACGAAATGTAGCTAAACTACTGATCCCATCGAAAAATGCTACAGAACTTTTCGCTTCGATTTTTCGCGATCTATCCAACGGTGTAAAGGTATTCAGGGAATATTTTAACACCCTGTATAGTTGACCCGAAAGTAAAATAAACGCATTTCGTATGTTTGTTGCAGAACTCAAGAACGTGTTAGACACGCATATACAAGAGATCAAAGCGCAAGTACTGGAAGGTAAATGCGAGCTCCAATAAGCCTACCCATACCCTTGAAGCGGTCGGTGAACAGGGTGGCATCATGTGTCACGCCAGGGCCGTATCCGCCTCTCAGCCCCTACGACATCACGAGAAACGGAACCAGCGAGATCGAACGTTGTCGGAGAAGCGAAGGGAAAGAACGATACAGGAAACCATCAGCACCAATGTCGTCGTCGTCGTCGTGGTCGTCGTCGTCGTGTTGTTTCAACTTATCATCGTCTCGAGATTCGAATTGGCCAGTAAAGGCGATAAGAGTGTCAAAGGAAGCGACAAACACTCGGGACACAGCGAGAAACACACTTCTCGAGGATCGTACTACAACCGATCCCGTCGAGAAGGCTTTCCTAAGTTACACCGAGGATGATCTCGAGGAAGAAGCACGTCGACCAAACGGAAAAGCTATGAACTTCGATCGATATCGGTGACGAGAGAGAAACTTTCAGGAAGTATAAAGGTATCGTCGTCGTTGTCGACGTCGAGGACGAATGCTTTCAGAAAGACGAATCCTCGATGGGAAAGTTAAGGAATGTTTAAAAATCGATGAAAAACCATCTGACGAAGTGTAAAAACATCAAGTGAAGGATTTAAAACGACGCGATCGACGAAGATTTCTTCGGAGCGGATAAAAGCAGGCAACGTGTACGAGAGAAATTACGCTCAAAAATTCCCAGGAGAAACGAGGAGAACGAAGACGATCTTGAACGAGGACGATGACTGAACGAGAAGTAAAAGAAGGAAACGTGGGCGAATTGGAGAACGCGAGAGAGAGTAGAATCGGCGAGAATTCGTTTACGCCTTACAGATTCGAAGGAAGAAGAAAGACGATAATCAAAATGATCGTTCGATCGGTCTGTCTTTTCGGATATCGTGCGAATTTCGATGGCGTAAACGCGACGTGAGCAGTCGAAGGGCGCGTGCATATAAACATACCTATATATATATATATAAATATAAATATAAATAAAGAAAAAAAGTATATATATATATATACACGAATAAGAAACAAGTTTAAACAAAATGAAAAAAAAAAAAGACGTAAAATTAGTACCTAAGTTTCTAGCGAATTTTCGAATAGTGATGTAACAAAGAACACTCCCGGTAGTAGAGTTAACGTAGTCACTAGTTCGTTCGACGGCTGTTCAAAACAACAAAGAGATCAGAAAAGGAGGGAGTCATTTATTATGATGATTATTATTATTACAGTTATCGATTATTATTCTGATAGTTGAATTATAACGCGGTCATTGTTCTTATGATTGTTAACCATTGAACCGTTTATATTTAGAGACAAAGTTAAGACAAGGATCGAGGGCCACGAGAAACTAGAGTCAAGAGACCAACAGTTAACAATACAAAGACAGAGAAGAATCGTTAGAGAATGACTGAATTAAATAAATTAGAAAACAGGGAACTGAGAAATGTTTGAGCGTAACCGGCGGCCCTTGCTCTCCTCCCTTCCGTCCAAATTCGAATTTTTTCGATCACCTTTGTCGGGCAATCGCGTAACACCTGATTTAGATACGTGTTTAGTTAGAACGCCTTAACGAGAGTAAAAATAAAAAAAAAAATAAAAAAAAAGAAGAAGAAGATATCGACGCGAAGAATAGCTCGACTGATATCCGAGCAGCACTGATACTTCCCGCGTTTAAATGTAAAAATGACAAAAAATGCCTTTCTTTCATGTTTATATACGGCACGTTTCTATCGAGTGTTAATTAAATACAGTAGGTTAATCAACGTTAGGCAACAGTGTTTGTGAACGATTTTGGAGGGGACAGGGCCTGTAGTCGAGACATCGTTCATTAGCTAATGGAGTTTCAGGTGTTACCGCCGGGAACGTGTTCGAGCCAAGTTAGTTACCGTTCCATCGTGTTTGTTCCAGTCGTTGCGATAAATAATACAATTGATTAGCGTTCTCAATGGTGGCAACGACACTGGACGGGATGGACAGAGCAATCGACTGCCGGCATGTAACGTCAGCCTTATACATATACGAGATTTACACTTTATCGACGAAATCCATGCGATTAGAACTCGTTAGAAATCCCTTTGAGCATTTTCAGTGGTCATTTTTGCCGAATTTCTATGGTAAAACTGGTAGACGACCTCTTAAATTCGAAGATTGAAATTAAAATTAAAATTAAAAAAAGATTTGATCTAACAAAAAATTACTAAATTATCTCGTCGATAAAGTGTTAAAACATGCTCCTTATCCAAAGGGTTAAAGAGACTTATTATATGAATAGGTATATGTATAGGGTGGAAATAAATGTGCGATGGAAATGAAAGGCAAGCAACTTCGCGCGACTAGTTGTTTCTTTTATTTTTTTCTATATACGTGCAATGATATATAAAAAAAGTGTACTTTCTTATGTTCTGATAGGAATCTATTCTTGCATCTTCTTCTTCTTCTTCTTCTTCGTGACTATCGAATCTTCTCGAATCGATTCTGACTCTATGACAACGACTATCCTCTGATTTCTTAGCCAACTCGAGATTCTCCTAAACACGCGCTCTGTCATACTCGTTCGAATTCAAAAGAATAAACAAACTCTCCTGGACAATACGCCGCAGACTCGAGGAATGATCACGCGTTTCTCAATGTTTCGGAAATAATTAGAAAAAGAACGGATTCCGTGATCTTTCATCGACGATGAAGGACCGCGTCCCAGTTGGCAAACTAGCAAAACACCAGCCGCAAGTCGGATGGCCTTCTATCCAAACGGGCGCATGTCAAGCTTTCTATGTTCGTGGGCTGTAAAATGCACCCTGTGTTGTTTAATACGCGAGCACCTGTTAGTCGATACAGCGTCGACTGTTCTCTGTCGTTTCCAGCCACGTTGCTTCGAAAGGTTCGCGTAACTACCCAATGAAAAGCCGAGCGAGAAATCGAGCCTCGAAACGAGTTCAACTTTGTTTCAGACCTCGATAATTCGTCGATAATAAAAGTGAATGCTGGGCAAGTTTTAACGATCGAGCATATTTCAGCGATTTATTCGGGAACGAACCGCGGATGAAAATCACTGAAGCGACGCCTCGTTATAGATGGATCGTTGGATTTTTCCAAAGATCCCGGAACCGAGGGAAAAGTAAGTTTCCGCTGCGGTTAGAGATTCTGGGAAAAGCTTCCCTCGCGTTTGCGAACTTTGCGGAAAATCAACGTAACGAGAACCTTCTTACACGTTTCTTGACAGTCGGTCTCTTGTCAACAAACAACCGACAACTTTTCCAACCTCTCGAAAAGTTCCTCCATTAAGGGAGGAAAATTTCGAGTAATTTCTTGCAGTCACGCGAACCTTGACTGTTCAACGTAGACGAACTATAAAATAAAATGTGAAAACTAAAAAAAAAAAAAGAAAAAAAAAGTATGAAAATAGAAGCAACGAAGAGTAATAGATGGATGTGCTTTTCATGTGTAAATCTATTTGACGTAGTCTCTCTCGTGTCTCAACGTGCATGCTACCTGCCTCTCTTGTCTATCGATATCGATGTCGTTGGTTGTATGTTCTCTACTATAAGCAAATAAGGATCATCGAAAATCATCCGATCGATCGTCTATCAAATTCGAATTACACCAGTATTTTGCTACCTGAGCCGAAAAGCAACCTCTATGAAAGAAAGTAACCAGAGACTATAATCGGACGTGATCGCGATGATTTTCAATGATTTCGAAACCCTCGCATATTTTCTCTCTGTACGATCGCGATCTTTAGATGGAAACGCTTTCAAATTACCTAGAAGTACCTTCTTCCCTTCGTCCTCTCTCCCGAAAGCATTCAGAAATTGTTTCGCTGAACTCTCCTGTACGATCTACTCTTAACACACACTTGAAGTCAATTACTCAATAATTAATCCAAAGATATATCTATATTGATTCTAGACAGAGAATAATACACACGTACGTTAATCTTATCAAGTTTTTTCGATATGCGTGGAAACGGTGTTAAACGGGGATTAAAGAAGAGGTGTCGAAACAAGTTGAAAGTGAAGGTAAATCGTTCCTCGAAAGGATCGTGTTCTTATCATTGCGATTAAAGAAAGGAAAGCAATTGACGTCAAATTATTTCAACAGACAAACGCATTACGGTTCGATAATTATCGCGAGAAACTTTCCAAATTTCAATTAGGATTTGAATGAAATTGAAAAATGAACTCTGAATAACCGGAATATTTTCTATATCTACAAAATTGATCCTAATGAACGGCGGACCGTAATGTAATTAAAATAGACAGTGATGTACAATTCGCAAACTGTTTTCCTTATGCCTTTTTTGCGCTCTCTGTGTCTCTCTTTCTCTTTCTCTTATGCTCTATTTTTCTCTGACAGCAATCTTTCTCTCTGTCTATCGTCTTTGGGATACCCTTCTTGCTCGATGTGTGACCCCTTATTGCTCTAATATTCTCTTTCAACTCACGACTACTTAATCGTCGCGTAAATGCACTTCAAGACAACAGAAAAAAAATAAATAAATAAATAAAAATGCGTGAAATAAAGAAGACGTTGTTACGGCTGATTAATGTCGTGTGTCGTTGTTGTTTCTCGATGTGATTTCAGCATGTGAATGTTGCTCTAACAGTAGCTAAGTAGTTCGACTCTTTGCTCTATTCTTGTCCCTCGTGTAATTATGTATTGTTACAAGCTCCACACATGTAACTTTCAATGGATTTGATTAAAGAGCTTTGTGTGCCTTTAGTTCTCGTCTACCTTAATTGAAATACGTCAAGTTACGATTAACACAGCGCACCAAAGATTCTATCCTACACGTTCCTACTGTACACGAACTTCATTTTACTTTGATAATCTTACGCGTGAAAATAATCGCAATATTAACCCTTTCGAAAAGAAAAATTATTTCTTTTCCTTATTCGTTGAGGAATCTCTGTTATAGCTATAAATGTGATATCTATGTTAATTAATTATTATGTGTTATTGATAGTTTACGCATAAGTATAATTTCTGCTTTTTTTTCTCTCTCGATAAGAAATGATATATTTTCTATTATTCGTTGAGAAATGTTTGTTATAGCTGTAAATGTTCTGTCTATGTCGGTGAAGAAATTTTCTGAAAGGGTTAAACTCTATGATACGTGGCGTATTTGGGTGAGCAGGCCGTTTGCCGACGATTTTTCACCGATTTCTCGTTAAAAAAAGAACCTTTCTCGAAAATAGAAGACGATAGAAGTAACAGGAAATAACTACGATCAAGAAAACGCGGTCCGAAATTCAGAACCCTCTTACGAATAAAAAGAAAAAAATAATCTTGAGATACACGTATCGACGTGTAATTGGCGAAATAGATGAAAATTGAAGGGAAGAAAGATCGCGTGAATATTCTCGAGACTTTCTCTCGTTCTCTGATTCCTTTCATTCTTTCACTTGTTACGAACTGTGTGTCTGTCCTCGATCTCCTCGATTCCCTTTCACCCTTTCACTGTTATATTGAAATTAGCGATTTACCTTGTTAAATTTGAAAAAAGAAGACGTTGTTTAACCCTTAACTGTCGTTCTTTACACGTCCCCTTAGTGGAACCTTTGATTTTTTCTAGTGTAAGCGTAACGACCCCACATTGGTGTCTTTCGACATTTAAGGGTTGAAATACTTTGAAATTGTATGCTTCTATTACAATCACTGTTACTATTATACTTCGACCATGCACATGTTATGACGATTGCTTTCGAGTAACCCCTAGTCAAAGGGTTGATCTTCACTTTTGCACGAGCACGTAACAAATCAAACGATCCTATCCTGTCTTTTCACGTATTTCCCCTGAAGCCACCCTTTGCCTACCCGCGGCACGTGGCAAGTGATATTAAAAAAAAAAAGTGAATAAATACTTAAAAAATCTATTCGATTCGTGTTTCATAGATTTTAACAGGAAAAAAAGGTAAACCAAAGAAAAAAAAAAATGAATCGCGTCTGGTTTCAATGAATCGTACAAAGTCTTTCTTTTCAATTAATTTTCGATTGAACAAGCAGGTTCGTTGAAACGAGACACGGGTCCGAGTAACGTGTAAAACATAGTTAAAGGACCTTTTTCTTAGGTACTTAATTATCGGACAAGAAATTATTAAAGGTCACAAAGAGTATAACGCGTTTTAGGTACGATATGCGCCGAAACGTTAAGATTTAACGACACAGATGTGTAACGTTCTTTTTTTCTCCAATGTACATAGTTACGAAAAAAAAAAAATCCAAAGCTGGGTTTAGCGTTTAAAAGCGATTTCATTCCACAAAAATCGACAGGAATGAATGAAAGATAAAAAAAAAGAAGGACAAAGAGTAACCGTGCATCCTGAAATTTCGAAAAACCATCTCGTTCCGCGTGTCTCTACAAATTCGTACGATTTTTATTCGTAACGAAGCTAGCAGAAATTTCCATCGTTACGACAACGATGAGTTTTTCGAAATTCTAGGTGAAATATGAAAAAGAAAGAGAGAGAGAGAGGGAGAGATTACACACCGGCGTAACTCGCGAGAAGAACCGACTCGACTTATTCAGAGACAACGACAAAACGCATTATAAAGTAATAATGATAAATTAACGTTAATGAAATCGACGTAATATTGTTATGATCCATTTAACGACGGTGATCTCGACGATCGTTGCATAAAATAACGTAGACGCGTGTGTGTGTGTGTTTCTCGATAAGCGTGCGAGAGCAACACCATTAAAAAAAAAGTATTTAAAAAAAGCAACAAAATGAGAAAAAAAAACATGAAAAAAAAAATGCGTAGAGGAAAACAGCAAAAGATCACGATGTTAAGTAAAGTAAAAAAAGTAGTCGTTAGCTTTGTATACAGAAAGAGGGTGGCGATGAAAATCGAACGGAAGAGGGAGAGAAAAACGGAGAAAGAACTCTGATGATTGACGAGTTCCCAGAGACGAGATAAAAATCACATTTAACTAAAATAGAGTTCTTTCGAGTCAGCTGCCATTGGATTTAAATTAAAAAAAAAAAATTAAAAAAAAAAGAAACGAGAACTCTTGTAACGTCATCTTCGAGCGGACTTGTGCGATTTTTTGGACAGGGGTTCTGCGAACACACGGTGACCTGCTGTTGGCTCGTACGAGATAAATTCTGGCAAACGTTTCTCCCTCGAGGAAATTCTATTTACATTGAACGAAACGTCTGAAACTTTCACAATGCTTCTAAACAATGAATAATTGAACGAGGAAAAGCGACACCTGTCTGAAATTGGAGTTTGGAGTCGCTGGAGATTCGAAACTACCTTGAATTTGTTTCGAAATTCTGTGGAGAACATCGGGCAGACACGGTTTTAGTCCTCTGTAAGACGGACTATGAAATTTTTAAAGGTTCATCAAATATCTTTCATTTCTCCAGTATGAAGGATTAATCGTACGATTGTGATATGAAAACAATGGGCAGCATTTCACCGTGATCACAATTGTCGCAAATTATCACACCGTGGCCGGTGTCTTCGTAAACTCGTTGAACCGACAAGCAATATTATAGATGCCTATAATTACTACTATTATACGTGTCTTATACAGGAAAAAAAAAGTGAGCAAAAACAATGAGAAAATTAGAAACGCGTGCGCGTACATTTACACACACGTCAGAACACTGTATTTACGAAGCAACGTGTACCATACACGCGAAAAAGACTAATTAACACTGGAACAATCAACCATTCAATGTGATTTAAAATTTTTCTTTCTTTACCTCGACAAAAGTGAACATACGTGAGAAAACTTCGATGATTTTTGTGATTGAAAATTAGAAAAACGTGATGTTATAGTTTGATTGTTCTAGCGTTAAGAAGAAATGGATGAAAAATTGCTGTAATTTCGACGCGTACGTTCACATCGATCTCTGTGTAATTTTATATTTCGACGTTCGAAGAAAAACACATTGCGAAGCGTTTTTAGCTGCATGCAACGACCAATAATCATTTTTATTGTAATCGTTAACGATGTAGGGAAAGATTGAATGGAAGCAAAAGGGCATACGGGATCTTGATAATCAAATGCCCTAAAAATCGCACCAAGCTTGCTCCGGGGATAAATGAAAGAAAGAAAGTAAGTAAATGTTCAAACGACACCAAAGAAAAATGAGAAACAAAGAGAAAGATGAATTAATAAATCTCTTGTATGAAACGTAGTATGCTTAGCGGTTAAATTATTGGAATACGAATGAGTTGATTATTGAGCGTAAAATATTCTGTAACATTTGAAGAGGAAAACAAAGTAAACGCCGGATGGGTCGATGATGAATAATATTAATATTGTTGTTAGATTATGTATAATATATAATATTATATATATATATATATACATTGATATAACAAAAAAAAAAATGAAGTAACTTAGACGTTAAGCGACCACTTGTTCACGATACACCAACACAGAACATACACTCGTTTGCACAGAAAAGATTAACCCTTTATTTAGCGAAGTTAATGATTTATTGTACTGTTGGATGCAAAAATTGTTGAAAAAATGTCTCGAAACGTTACGAAATTAGATATTTTTTATATGTAGTGTAGTTGTTGTAAAGTTGTCTTATAATGTTTAAAAATTTCTTCTTTGTAAATTCGTTATTACAATCAGAATTATACAATAAATCAATCAGCAAAATTAATGTTAATTACAGCCTTCTCCCTTATTGATTTTATGTTTGATTTGCATCGAACAGTACCCTTTGTTTTTTCTTTTTTCTTTTTATAAAACTTGGAATAAAGAAGCGTTGATTTTCAGTTTCAATTAACTATTCAATCGGCTCACAGTTTGCCAGTGCCAAATAAAAGGTTAATACAGGTGCGACATACTCGATTTTCACACAGGAAATGAACATACGAGACACGATACGACAGGACACACGATTTCGTAAATGTCCCTGTGAGTAGAAGGGGCAGCAACCCTTGTCACGCGTGAAAAATGCAGAGAATCTTACTTTCCCTGGTCGACTCTCCTCTTTTCACCCTCGAGACGACGAAAAGCGGTTGGGGTAAAAACTGGGAAACGGAGGACGAAGGGTTTTTCTGGATCCACCGAGTCGAAAAACGCTTGAAAACTTTTATTTTGAAAACGTAAATCGTCCAGAGAATAGACGCTCCATGAAACGAACACCTCGAGGGTGAACGTAGGGGTTGAAATTCAGCAACGAAAGTAAAAGACGATTAACGATGAAAAGGGATTAAATCAAAAACAGATAGACAAAAGAGAGAACAGAGAAGGATAATCGAGCTTTCCTCTTCCTACGTTGTACGGAAAATTCATGGTGTTTCTTAATGGGTACCAAACGGCGGAAAGGATTAATTCGCGAGAGAAAAAGAACTCACGAGAGAAGCACGAAAGAGGGCGATTTTTTAGGGGAGCGCCTCGTCGTTATAGCTCTTAAAAATACCGATAGTAATATTACGAGTAATAATAAACAACAAGTGAATTAACCCAGAATATGCGTTTATGTTATTTAGTTCTAAAAAATACAACAAGAACGACAAGAACAACAAAAAAATGAATAAAATGTAATAAAAATCAATCGTGTTACCAACTGGATCGTCTGTTCCTTTCTTATTCCCTCTTATCCGATGTGATACCACGTATTACATCAATTTAATTTAATAAAAATTAGATCTAGCACAGTAAAATTGGAACGACGAGAAATTCAATTCGCGAATTCCGCTGTGCGTGCAAAAAGTGCACTACTTTCAATCTTTTTTTTTTTTTATGCAATGACCGACATTACTGCGATTTCGAAATAGCTCAAATACCTCGCGTTACTTGTCACCCGGTGTGTCGTATGCATTATTTTTCGAACAATCGACCTCTCAGTGCAAATAAAGCCTTCCCGGGATACGTATCGATCGTTTGCCCTATCGTGACATGGAAAGTATCTCGAATCGAAGCAATTAATTCAACAACGAGTAGAAAAATGAAGCGTTCGAAGCATCATCTTTGCTTTTTGCTGCTCCTATACATCTTCATGGTTCGTTCTTTGGCTCAAGATTTAACACTGAACGTCAACTTTGATAAACCTATCTCGGTTACCAACGAAAAGTTTCTTAGTCTCACTGTTGACCCAGCAACCCTGCTGACCGGAAGTGCTCTAAGGTATGTGGAAACACAAGACTGACCCCATTTACAAAATACAATTTAACAATTTCTTTTGATTAACAGTTAATTTAGCAAAGCATTTTTAAAACAAAACTTCCACGTTAAAACGAATTTTGTTCGATAACTTTTTAATTGAAGGTTTCAAACAAAGTCGAGAAACGTCATATTCAAACGTCCTCTCTTGTGTTTTGCGCTTATAACCGTGAACCAATTCGAGATCAATTTAAAAGCAATCAATAGAATGCAAGGTACCGAATGCCGGGCACAAAAAGACCTATCGAAATGACTCTACATGCACAACCTTTGAACGAAACGCAATTCAATCTGGCCCCCGCGAAATTAAACGTGTTTTAATTTCAGTTCCAACTATCATTGATTGTGTCCGAAAAATAGAAAACCCTTCTTCTGACTTTATTAATTATTTCAGCAAGGATTTTGAGAAGAGCATAAATTTGGCAAGAGCACTTAGCCCGGCATACATAAGATTCGAAGGACCAGGTAGATCCTTCTTCCGGTTTGCCGATCCAGACGCGAAGGATAAGAACAGAATAACTATCCTAACTGGTGAGCCGAATCGTAATTTTTCTAAAGCGGGTGTTAGATCATCCTTTAAAAATGTTCATTCTTCTAATTCACGGAGAGCAGCTTGTTTTCGTCCGTGAAACACGCCTCGCATTATTCTGGCCGTTCGCGTTAATTACCTGCAAAACTTACACGTCTGGTGCAAGGTGCAAATCTACCTAACGAGCTCAGTAATTTAACATTCGGTGCGTTTTCCACATGGCGTACAACGCAATCCGACACCACGACAACCGAATCCTGTATACTGTCTTCCCCTTCGACTAAACTTTACCGCGACTATTCTCTATTCTTTGGTACAAATTAATAGGCTACTCGAGAGACAGCTAATTGTAACAGGGAAAAAGCTAATTTCCTTGTAGACTCTCAACTTCTGTTCCGCTTAGTTTATCGGATTGTTCAAAATGAACGTTGGACAATTAAAATATGAAAACTATAAAATTTACCTACTCCCAGTTTAATCGCAGGAACTTTGCGTATCTTTGGGAAATATCTAGCCACGGGATATATGTCAGCAACGCATTGGTGCGCGAAGCATTGTTCGAGTTAATGCAGCCAGTTTCTGTAACTGACAATGAGCGGTCAGGTTGGTGCATCAGCCGCGAAATTAGGCGAGGAAGATGTGTGTGATACGCGCGTTTCTCCGCGTTAATGGAAGCTTCGAGGGAACGGATGCGTGTGGGTCCTTTGTAAGCTATCGTCCGTTACATTGCCGTCTAAATTAACCGTGATAATGGGCCGGGGGCTTCGGTTGTTTTATGCTCCAGTTAGGAGAATTACCGTCCACCGGGAATTTACGAGGGAAAGAAACGAAACGTCTACCTGGCAATTCTATTTCTAATTACGTAGAATCGTTAGCCTCGATCGTTTTAATCGCGAAATTTTTGTGACCGTAGAATCTGATTGGATTCGAACTCATCAATGGGCGAAAAAATCAGGATTGGACGTAATAGCTTGCATCTCACCGGATTATCAACGAGATGAAACCGAAGACACGAGGGAGATAGTTTCTTTCAGCGATCACGTGGCTTTCAACACGAGTTGGCAACTGGGATACGGTAGATTATCTCGTCAACCTCCTCGCTTTAATTATTCATCCCGGGAGGATCTAGTTTAAATTGATTTTTTTTTCAGAATGTCAGACAGGATGCAACATCTCAGCCAGCGATTTAGCGAGACAGACGGTGAATCTACGAAAAATACTGAACGAATTTCCGAGATACTCGAACAGCATCGTTGCTGGACCGGATGTCGTCGCTTATAGAAGCGATAAGCAACGACAGTACCTTCGAGATTATTTTGATATCGCTTCTCCTGCACTTTCAGCGATCACTTGGCATCCGTAAACATAAATTTACTCGGCGTTCGCATAAATTTTACTACGCGATAATTAATAACACAAAAATTAATAACACAATTTCTTAATTATTGCAGTGATTTAGCTGGAGTGACTTTGGACAACGAAGGAGCCTTCATACATGAAGATAATTTAGAGAAGGACAGAGAAGAGCTTCTGAAAGTGATTGGTCGCTTCGTGGATAAACAACCATTGTGGATTGGTAAGAAATACGCGAGTAGTTTATATCGCAAAATGTCTAAACAATAACCAGCTTTCATAATTAATTACTTGAAGCGGAATCCAAACCAGAGGAATGCAAGAACCTCTACATTGGGGCGCTGATTTTAGCGAGAAGATTAGGCAATGCAGCAAGATCGAAGATAAACGTTCTAATGAGGCAACCGACTGATTTAACTCACCCATCACCAGTATGTTATGAAAAGAGAACCCTTAAAATTGTAGAAATTATACGAATGAAAAATAATAATTATTATATATATTATACAGGGTGTTAAAAAATTCCCTGACGACCTCTACACCGTTGGATAGATCACGAAAAATCGAAGCGAAAAGTTCTGTAGCATTTTTCAATAGGATCAGTAGTTTAGCCACATTTCGTTGTTGAAAATTAACCAATCAGCGCGCAGCTTGAATGGCAAGACCCGCGGAGTAGGGGACTACCCTCCTCTGCCGCCGCCGAGCCACTCCTACCCCGCGTGTCTTGCCACTCAAGCTGCGCGCTGATTGGTTAATTTTCAACAACGAAATGTGGCTAAACTATTGATCCCAACGAAAAATGCTACAGAACTTTTCGCTTCGATTTTTCGTGATCTATCCAGCGGTGTAGAGGTCTTCAGGGTAGTTTTATATATATTATATATAAATAATAATAGTTATTATTATTAAGAATAATTAACGCTTTAAATGGTGCAACAGGATTACTGGGTGTCTTTGCTCCACAAAACTCTCGTTGGACAAAAGGTATTCGATGTAAAGATTCAATCCAGTAGCAAGAATCACGTGTTCCTCTACTGTCAATGCACCAAAGCTTCGAACAGATACCAGAGAGGGTCTGTCACAATTTTTGGCGTGAATTTAAACCCTGAAGAGACTATCATTGATTTGAAGGGGATGAAAATCAACACGGTCCATGAATACGTTCTTTCACCAGGTTTCGATTCGCTCAATAGAATGTTTTCTGAGTAAGTTTTTTTATCTTTTGGTACTTGAAAACCTTCTTTTCTATTTTATCACGTTTCCATTACAGGAGTGTTTTCTTGAATAATAAGACACTGAATTTGATCAACGACACAGTTCCTGAATTGTATCCGGTTATTTTGAAAGATCCAGAAGGTTTAGAACTTGAATTGCATCCAGGTGGCATCGGTTTTTGGGTTCTTCCTGATTTAAAAGTAACTAGGAATCTTTATCTTACTGTGTTTTAGTGCTCTTCTTTAATCTATGATGTTTTGCAGATCAAATCATGCATGGAAGATGATGCAAGTTTTAACTCTTCCGAAGATTTCCAAAGTGAAGAGGAGCTGAAAGTTCACGTTACGAGATCCGTGCAAGATCGATCAGCTTTGAAAACTGAGAAAAAACAGAAAATTGATTCTGAAGCATCCAGGAAGTCAATCTTGAAAAGAGAGCTCAATAAACTGCGGAAGTACGCGAAGAAAAGGTTGAACGATTACGAGATCACGAAGTCCCCATTGAAATCTGAAGATTCTTCCACTTCTAAAGCAGAAGATACCAAGCAGGAATCGCAGAACGATATTCAAAACAAATTACAAGAATTCAAGGATCGCATATTACGAATAAGAAGCATATCAAATTCGAACAAAATGAAATCCAGGCTCAACAAAGTCGTTTCGGACGTATCGTCGCTGGTATCCAAGGTACAGAACGCTTTGGATCCAACGAAACAGGAAATCGATCATTCAGACAAAATAAAATCACCAAGAAGTGCGAAGAATCATTTGAAGGATCTCTACGATTTTCTGAATCGCGTTAATTTAAATAAACCAATCGGTGCAATCAAACAAAATAGGTTGTTCAAACGGGATGTTACAGAGGTGATACGCCCGAGTGTAATTGAATGGGACAAAAGTGACAGTGATGAACATACGTTTTATGGATTCTTCAAAATGAATCCTGCGGAAGGATTCCCGGAAGGTGACGTGCATTTCGCCACTGCGGAACATCCTGAAATAAGGAACAATGGAAGAAGTGAAGGAACAGATTCTAATGTTCCAGCACCAGAATACGATGATTACGAGGAGTACGAATACGATTATCCGACTAGATTCGACGAACCCTTTTTCGGACGACCAAGGACGTTGAATGATAAAAGTAAGATTAGCGCAAGGAGATCTGTTGAACTTTGGGAAGCAGAAGGGTTTCCCATGAGAAATGGAAGGTCTAAAAGAGAAGCCAAAGACTTGAACGCTATACTGGATCAAGAAATGATCAAGGAAGACGATGCGAATTCAAAAGACTGCAAGTGTAGAGTCATTCGACATCCACAGTCCTGTAATTGCCGACCAAAGAGGGATATTATGAAACCCATAGAGTCTGTGGAGTCCGCAACTGTTTCCGAAGTAGCATCTTTAACTTCGCACGATATGGCAGACGTAGAAGTATTTTCGGAGCTTAAAGAAGCGCCTATGGAGGCTGTGGAGAGTGAACAGAATGTACCGATTGATTTGGAGGGAATTCCAAGTAAGATTGGTGTAACTCCGTTTACAACTCCCTTAATTTCAAGGGAAACAATCGGTGCACGTTCTGTAAATCTTGAAGAGATCAATTCTGGAACATTGTCCACAGTTTCTTCGTCGATTTCAAAGAAAGGCGACGAATCGACTCGATCTCATAGAACGCCGATTCGAGGCGGAAGAAGGAAGTTTTTTCTTAAGAAATCGAAGCAGGACGAGACGAAGGAGACCACGATCGATACTCTCGAGGATCCTGCGGAATATAGTTCGAATAGTTGGGAAAATTCTACATCCTCCAGCAGCAACGAGACTGCAACGGAAGAGGGCGAAGAAAGTTCAAGTACCACGTTCAAATCGGCTACTTTATGGGAACCGGATATCGCGAAAGAGGCCGAGATGGATTATAATAATGATCAAGCAGCCGTGGCAAGCTCCAAGAGGCAAGTCGTCAATGAAAATGTTCCAAAGGTATCCGCGAAAGCTGCAAACAAGTCAACAAGTCCATCGTTGAAAGATTTTCGACGAAATCGAAGGCAGAGACCGAATCGATTGAATAGAAAATTGAAAACTAACATTGCCAAAGCTCGAGAATCACGATTGATGCAGAGAGCAAAGGTACTGTCGGCATTAGTGAAGATGATTCGTGGGAAAACAGGAGACGAGGTGTATAAATTTCGTCCAAAATCAAGATCGAGGACCAAATCTGGAGAACGATCCAAGACTCGAAAGGGACAGGCAACAATAAACGATAAATCACCAGAAAAGAAAAATATAATATTACAGCAAGTCCAAAAGAGTATTGATAATGAAATGAACGAAATGGTGAATGAAAAGGACAGAAATTTAAAAAGGAGACACGTATGGGAGATGATCGATGATGATGAGGATTTTAAAGACGTGATGGATTCTGAAAAGTTAGCTTGCGTTTTGGTATACAACCCGACGAACGATGAAGATAATGAGAGTTATGAATCAATTGAAAAAAGGGACGCTCCGATCACTGAAATCGTCAGAACAACAGATATCAGAGAGAGGCTTTTTAATCCTAAAAATCAAAGGAGCCATTGTGACTCAACGCTTATGGAACACTCAGATCCTGATAGTGTAAGGAAAGAAATTGTCGAATTGAAAGATCTGTATGAAAAGGAAGCAGCAACGATTGGAGAATCTGACGAGGATGATGGGGATGATGGTACGACTTATTTTGTTTTGGTGGAAAACTTAGACAGGCCACGGTTTTTCCGTTTGCAAGAAAAACAAAGAAACGTACAGGTAAATATTTATGGATAAGTTTCCGAATGGGCCCACCAAAATTGAGAACTCAGGCTCGGTATATAACTTAAATTAACTACCAGAAACCGATTAAAATCGGTTTCAGAGCTGGATGTCTTACTGTTTTTGAGATATCGTGGTAAGAAATTTTTGTACATTTTTGGGACTACCTATGCGCTATTCGATACTGCGCATACACGGAACCTAACTTAACCTAACCTTACCACGATATCTCGAAAACAGTAAGACATCCACCTCTGAAACCAACTTTAATCGGTTTCTTGTAGTCAATCCGAACCTGAGTTCTCAATTTTGGTGGGGCCATTTGGAAACACAGCCATATTTATAAAAATAACTTCGAAAAGCCATTTGATTAACTGCTTAAATAAATAAATAATTAATTTGTTTTACAGAAATCATCGCCTCGTTTGCGTTACAGTAACAATTACAGGTATAATCAACCTAAAAAAGAAATATTCGTGATTGATCCCTCGGAATACAGAGGTGGAGAACCGATTTTACAACCGTACAGAGATCCATTAAAATCAAGACCGAATTTCAGGTCAAGAAATCTATACGAAGTAATTCGTAAATCCTTACAAAAGCCGTATAACATTCGTACAGTGGAACAACGCAAACGCGAGGACAAAGTCACAAACGAGGACGTATCCGAAACATCTGAGAAGTTATCGGAAAATGTAAACACTGGAGAGCTTTTAAAAGTTTTGATCGACAATCTTGACTTGCAATCTGTCGAAGAGCTTTTCAAACAGCTCGACAAATATAATACGACAGATGAAAAGCGTAATTTTATACGCTCGATCGTTGAAGAGATGAGAAAGAAACGATCGGAAGACGAAGAAAGTTCTGAGAGTATGGGAAATTCTAGAGAAAATGAATCTTTAGAGATTCTTAATAGCGAAGAGGTGATGGATCAAACAGAGAGTTATCTGGATGTTTCCATAGAACAGGATACGCAAAGCAACGAAGATGACACCACTTTTGAAGTGTCCATTATAGGAGAACACCCTCCTGAAAGAATAATTGGACGACGACGAAGGGACACGAGTACTAAACCAGGAAAAAACTATTCCAAGTGGTTTAAATCATCTAAAATCATGGAGATTTTAGAGAAAAATGAACATTTTGGTAGGTTGCCGAGACAAGCAGTGGATCAAGAAAACATTAATGAAAATGCTGATATGGTAAGGACTAAGCGCTTTTAATAAAACGTGGATTAATGAAATCTTTACAGTTACATTTTTCAATGTCATTTTCTAAGGTACAACCATCAGTACTGCAACAACTGGAAGGATCTTCGAGCCCAGAAATTCAGACATCCACCGAGATGGACGACATAGAAAAATCATTAGTTCAAAAGGTACCTATCGAAAGATACACGAAGAAAGAAGATCTAAACGATGAGAACGGATTGCAATCTCTCATACAGAAAAGTATACCGAGTTTGCAAAACGTTGTGGTCGATAGTTTACAAAAAGCTCGAAATTTCACGGGATCAGTTGAAGAGTTGATTGAAAATCTGGACGAAAAGTTTGACGAGGCAACATCGGGCGAAGATGAAAATAACTCGATCAATTCTAGGTCAATAACTACTACTCAAGCTGTGTTTCATAATGCAATAACAAACGTGAAAAAATTCTTTGCATTGCTCGGTGGAATTACACGAATTTTACAAGGATAATTTCGCACAAATTTTTATTATATTACTTTATATCAATCACAACTATATTTTGTACTAAACCTTTTGTATTTTAATCACCACTTATATAACAATTAAATAAAAATTATTATCAAGTACGTACCACTGTTAATTCCTTTCCAAATTTCAGCTTGCAATTAAAAAGCTTTCAATTATTCACAAGTACAAATATGAAGTATCGAATATAAAATAAACAAAAAAAAAAAAAAAATTAAATAAAATTCAGATTTGTTTTCATTCACATGATTTGCTGTGCTGTTCCATATACTACGAAATGTATAATAAACTTACAGCAGTATAATTGCAACACGGCATAATCAATTTTGCAATAAGAAAACATCAAAACATGTAGGCAATTTTTATCCCATATATGAGTAGGATCATCGAGAGGTACAGTTACCGATTGCTCTTGATACCGTTCACTTCGATTCCGATCAAGAGAGAAAAATAGTTGATGTTAAAACGGAAAGTTTAAAACGAGTGATTTCCGTGATCGTTATGCGTCGCTCAGTTATTATCTATTCGATACTTTTCACACTTATTACAACAGTGTGCTCGAAAAGCATTGGATTTGTAAACAATGAAGACGTCGAAAACCCAACCGACTCAAGGTAATTGATACTTTTATCTTAAATAATTAATTTTAAAAAGATCACGTGAATTTTCTACCGAGCATCGTAACCAATGGATATGAAAAATGATACAATCTAATAAATATACGGAAATTTTGATTAACCGTACAAGAGATTTATCCGAGGTTTAATTTAATATTCTAAAAATGTAGCCCTTCTTAGACAGAAAAACGTATGCGGTAGGCTAGCATTTACGAAAGATCATTCAACAAATTTCTCTGAGAATATATTTCAGCAGGCCATAGATGCACGATCCGTTCCCTCATAAATTTCCCTTATCCCGCACCATTTATCTAGCTTTCCAGGGGAGTACATCGGAACATTCTTTCAGTTTTTCAAACGAGTTCCTTCTTGGACGAATTCCGAATCATGGTGAGGCTGGTAGCCCGTTGGATCGTAGACGCGAAAGTATGTTAGTCATTTGAAAACCGATGCTGGCGCAACTGTTAGCGTCAGCTACGCTTAAATTACATTTCACGTTCAAGCTGAGCCAAGATAAAATTTCGAATTCGCAAGAAATCCTCGATTCAATATAATTCATACCCGTGTCATACGATTTCGAACGGTGCATATGTACCGAACAATTTTTATAACATTTTAAAATAATAGATTGCGAGACATTAATAGATTAAATTAAACAAAGATCGAAATGTAATAATAATAATAAAAAACAATGAGTGATCGACTCGCAATTATTACACAATCTGTGTCGCAGCAAAAAATTAAATAATAATTTATTTATACACTCACCGAGATGCAACGATCCATCCCTCCATGGCTGAGTTCCTCTCTCAAAGGGAAGAAAAAACCATGATGGTTGAGGAATGTCCATGTGATGAAATTACACTTCACTAATATAACGTTTAGAACGAAGCATCACGTGTTATCGGGTCGGGAGTCGAACTTGTACTAAGCGAGAATTACCTTGCTCGAGCAGGGTCAATTTTTGTTTTTGAACGTTCCTCGAGCGATATCAAAAAGTCGTATTTCTAGTCTGTTTACTTTTGAAACTTACAACTTTCCACTCTGAAAACAAAGAAATTTATAATGTTTTAAATTATTTAACATTTACAGTGGTACCTCGGTATACGACTTTAATCCGTTCCTGATGTTTGGACTTATACCGATTAGGACGTATACCAAACCAACCTTTCCCATAAGAAGTAATGTAAAAATGATTAACCCGTTCTCATGTAAAAAAAAAACTCCTATTGATATTATACCCACATTAATGGGATTGTAAAATAATTTAAATACTGTTTAAACAAATGACGCAAAATTCACACAAATTATTTATGTCGTGTACCGAGTAAAATTTGTCACGTCCAAACAGGACGTGTTCCGAATTGGACATACAGTGAGTCACAAAATTATAGGCACACCATTTAAAACAGAATACCTCATTTGAAATTGGACCAAATGACTTGAGGCATTTTGAGAATCTATAAAAATTAATTTACTAAGATATGTACTTTTGTTGTTTTAAAAAAATTAGTTTATCGAAATCGTGAAAAAAAATAGTAAAAGGCAATTGTTTAAATTTTTTATTTGAGCCTGTAATGAAAATTTAAAATATACCTTTCATAGATTCAAATAAGTTATGTGTATGCTTAAAACTTTCATCGAGATCGGTCAGCGCATTTAAAGTAATTACATATCTTAGTAAATTAATTTTTATAGCTTCTCAAAAAGCCCCAAGTCATTTGGTTCAATTTTAAACGAGGTATTCTATTTTAAACGGTGTGCCAATAATTTTGTGACTCACTGTATTCTAAAGCAGACGTATATCAAGGTACCACTGTATTAACATTGTAAATGTTAATTATGAAATGCTATTATATAAGTTATACCTACCAAAGTAAATATAATGTTTCCACAAATGTTCCTTGGAAAATGATGAAATTTTTCGTTTGCAGAGTCACCCCAAGCATTCCGTTGCTCCACGACGAGGACGTATCTGACCCGAAACTAAGCGCAAAGAGGAGTTTGTTGGTTCTCATGCCAACATCCGAAGAGAAGGAAGAGATCGACTGCAAAGAAACAGAGGGTCACAGTCAAAAAAGAAAGCGTTGCAAAACTCCGATTCGTGCAGAGAGGGTTTCTCCGCCTTTGTCTAAAAAAGAAGGGATTTTAAAAGCGATACAAAATCGTTTAAAATCTAGAGACGAAATCGTCGGTGCTTCGCAAAGGAATCCGCTGACGAAAACCGATGTATACGACGATGGGAAATACATATGTTACTGCCAACAGAAAGAGGATCCCGCAGCCGAAAAAGAAACTGATCAAACGCTTGACTCGAAACCATCCCCTAAGAAAATTAAACCAGAAAAAAAGATTGACGATAGAAACATGCTCGTAGGTAGCAAACATAAACCGATACCTACAAACGTTCCTCATCGACCAATTTTACCGAAGAAATTGCATACCAGTGTTCCACAACATTCTGCAAATTTACGTCCTAAAATAAACCACCCTATTCTACAACAAAAAGGGCGAGAAAGGATTCCGTACGTCCCGTACGTTCATCGCGTGGATCCTCAGGGAAAGCCAACAAAATTCAACCTTCCATTGAATTCGGCTGCCGTTAAACCCGATTCGATCGTTGGCCAACAAGCGCCGATTGGTCAACAAAGTGATTTTAACGAGGATCAACAAATCGTTGGGCAATCTCAGTGTCCTTCGAACATGCTTGGCCAAACTCTGTCCCAATCGACGGAAAACACTCCAAGGAACGATCAACAAGAAGCTACCAATGTTTACGACAACAATTTACAATCCGCACACTCGAATCCCTCCGAGCAGGCAACGGAAAATTCCATCGACGAGGAAGAACCATTTATCCCCGAGGATGCTTCGCAACCGGATGATTCAAACGTGCAGGCTACCGAGCCAAAATCAACCCGCCAGGAAAACGAATACGAAACGACGGGCAGTGGAGGTTTGGATTACTCTGAAATCAAGGAGGTAACCAACGCGTATTTCACTTCGAAAGCGTACACCGATGAAACTGAAAGTGGTCCAACTGGTTACGATGATTTTCATGTCACCGGCGAGGATCAAGGTCACAACGTAAACTTGCAGGGTCCTTCGAACACTCCTGAAGAAGATCAAGCAAGTGGAGAAAGGACGAAATTAGGCAATACAGACTTGAATGGAGAAAACGATGAAGGAAGAAACGTTGTGTTGGGAGAAAGCAACCCAGAGTCTGCAAACGATGGATTAAATGAGAACATGGAACATGAAACTGAAGAAGAAACTGGAAAAGCTTCTCCTATGGAAGAAACAATCGGGTCAGTTCACGAAGATTCAACGCCTCCAGATGAAACTGACGCATCCAAAGAGAACGGAGAAGAGTATTTTCATAATGAAGAGACGATTGAATCGCCAGAAGAAGAAGCTAATGACGAAGAGGCTGAAGAGGAGACTTCGGTAGGTTCTTGGATAGATAGATTATCATACACTACTGATTCTGGAAATGATTACACGACAGAACAGAATGATTTTGTAAATGAACAAACAACCAAGTATTCAGATTCGAAAGAAGATTCTTCTCTCGTTGGGTCATCGCTGAAGACGGATAATGCTGAAGGTACAAAGGATGAATCGCAGCAATCGCTGCCATTTTGTGACAATTCCTTATTGCAAGGCACAATAAAATCGGTAGTTAATGATTATGCTAACGAAGGCTCGTCCGAGGAGACGGTTGGTTCCACGCACAACCAGGAATTTCTACCGGAAATCGTAGGAATTCCGAATTTGAAGAGTGTTCTGACCATGCCGCGGATCGAGCAGAGGATCATGGAGAAGGTGAAGGATCGTTTGTCGAAGATAATCACCGTCGACAGAAAGATCTTCGACAGCGACAAGACGGCCGTCATGATCAGGAACACTTTACGTCACATATTGTCCGCTGCACCCATTCCAAAGACGGAACTTCCGCCGATGACCGTCGAGGAACATCAATTCAAAGATGGAAAATGGGTGACCAACGCGGTTACTGTTGCATCAGAAACCGACGAAACTCGTGCTCCAACGAGTTTGGGAAAGGTACAAGCTTCTGTCAGAAGTTTTCTTCGGGATCCAGCAGTAGGTTTGGAAGCGGCCAAACATCCTGCCGTCCAAAACATGATCGTCGAAAGCGTTCGAAACACTTTCGAGCCAGGAAACGAAGAACCTGTGGACGATTCGGTGATTCGAAGCACTCTGAACCAAGAACTGAGCCTTATGCAAACAGAGAACGAACAAAATGAAGATGATACGATGACAGAAGATACACCAGCATCGGACAGCCTCGACGTATCGAATATTGATATGAAAAAGTTATTAGACATCGCCAAAGACGAGGCGGGTGTGAATGACACCGAGGAACATGAATCTTCAACTCCGAAATCCCTTAATACAGGAAACTCAGAAGTTCAAGAAGACAATTTGAATAAAGAGGATGCTGAGAAGGAAGCCACGGATGATGGTGTAGTTGGAATGGCAAAAGATGGTAGTTCAATGACATCGAACTCGGAAGAACCACCAGAGGTACCAAATTATAAATCCAGCTGCAGTGAAACTCAGTCCAACGTGGCTGTTGCTCCAAGAAATCAAGAGTCCTCGACTGATCAAGCAGAAAATGGTGAAGATGAGGACAAAGCATTGGTAGGAATGGAGAACGTAGGTTCGAATGAAGAACAGCCTTCGTTCAAAGACGTTGGTTCTGAACACGATCTCGCTTATTTGGGGAAAATCTCTCTGAAGAACAGGAATGATGCGGACGAAGTGAAGAGTCTTAAAAATTCCGAGCTGTATTATATCGGTGACGGCGTGAAGCTACCATTAGAGATCCGAAAATTGAACGATGGCTCGTACGCTTTATCGATATCAAGGAGATTCTGTGAACACCTTCTAAACAAGGAATGTCCTTGTTGCGTGCCTGTGAAAGGTAATGTTGTTCGCACGGTCCGAAGAAACTCGGACACGAACGATGATGACGGAGGAATCTGGTCGAGCAGGAGGAAAATAATCAGCGACGGTGAATCGACAAGATCAATTTTATCGAACGAACGAAGGAAACGTGATTTAACCGATGAAAGCTTGCACATTTTCTCGATGCCCGTGGAAAGTTTCGCGAGAAGATACAATCTGTCTTTGAATTTGGAAAGGGCGCAAGCACCGTGGAATTTAGACGCGAAGAACAAGATTGATGAACGTAAGAGGAATTTGAAAAATGAAGAAAGGAACAAGGTGAACGTTGATCATCTTCGTGATCTGTTGACCATTCACGCGATCTCTGATAACGATCAAACGAAAAGGCTAAATAATGATAGAAAGGAGGGTGCAACGAGTTACGAGTACCAAATGCAGAGAGAAGAGAAGAAAAGCTTTGATAGGTACCGACGTCATCGCAACACCGATGAAAACGTGAACAAACGAGTAGAAATAGTGAAAAGTATATTGAACTGGCTGAAAAATATAATTTTAAATGCATCGCCTAAACGATAAATGATTTTTTTTTTTATGATTTTTTATTATCCGATAGCAGACCGCGAAGACAGCGATAATTTAAATTTAAGGTTAGATCCCTTTCCGACTAAACTATGTTCTATAATCTATAAAATTAAAATGTTATACCTATTTTATAATTTACCTAGCTATAATGATTTTAATACTTCTTTTTATATTTCATTATATCTTTTTTAATTTGTTTAGTGTAATATAGAGATAAAATAAAGAGTTACTACCTGATAATTAAAGAAAATCCTCCCATTTTATATTATTATTATCGATTTCTGATCTTTATGATCTATTACCATCGGTGGTGAGTCATTGAGTGACGTAATCCTCAATGGTTAACTCGAATCAATGGAAGGTAACTGATAACTTGGTTATGTTTGGCAGGTTTGAACGTCTGTCAACATAGCAAGAGAATGGGTTTGTTTGGCAAATCCCAGGAAAGAAATCCAAAAGATATGGTTAGAATTGAAACAAACTCTGATCAGTTGTTCAATTTTTACATGAAATCGTATTTCAGGTTCAAGAATGGACACATAAATTAAGGAAGGAGGGTTATCAACTCGACAGACAGGTTAGAGGTAAGTTATTGCAAGTAATCTTTCATTAGAGTACACTCTGATATGAGAGATTATATTTATGAGACAGCAATTCAACGGGAAGAGGAGAAAATAAAACGTTCTCTAAAAGAAGCAGCTAAGAAAGGTGATAAGGATGTATGCAAAATACTTGCAAAGGAAATCATACGTGCCCGTAAAACTTGCAATAAAATCTATACATCAAAAGCTCACTTGAATTCTATTTCTTTGCAAATGAAAAATCAGTTGGCTACTATTAGAGTAGCAGGTTCTGTGTCAAAATCTACAGAAGTAATGCAAGCAATGCAGTCATTAGTCAGGGTACCCGAAGTAGCTGCTACAATGAGAGAACTGTCAAAAGAAATGATGAAAGCTGGAATTATTGAAGAAATGTTGGATGAAACTATGGACTCTATAGAAGACTCTGAAGAAGTAGAAGATGAGGCAGATGAGGAAATAGATAAAGTAATTTCTAACTATATAATCAAATGTTTTAGGAATACCTAAAAAAGAATATAGCCTTATAATGTTGAATATGTATTACAGATTTTATGGGAAGTTACAGCAGGCCAGTTAGGTACTGCACCTGCAGTTGTTACAGAAACCCCAGGATCAGTTGTAGCATCTACATCTGCTGAAGAAGAAGGGGAAGAAGTAGATGATAAAGAACTCGAAGAAATGAAAATGAGACTTCAAAGTCTTCGTAGTTAGGTGTAATATGTAAATAACCTGTTTATATTAATTTTGTGTTGAAATCTACCTGCACTAATTAAGCATATGCATACAAAACGTACAAACAACATGGAGTGGATGCCCAGTGAAATTAGATACTATCATTCGAAGTATCTGAATAATGCTTTTATACTGAGTAACCAAAAAAATAAAGATCAAGTATTACAAAAAGAGAAAAACTTTTATTCTCTTAATATCGTTTCTGTATCCAGCTTTTATAATCTGTACAAGATACTATAGCCATAGATATAGAGAAGCTGGCTTCTTAAGTGTATTAAGTTTAAACACACATTGCTTAAGTTAATTATAGCTGTAACACCGCGTATTAATATGTATTATACATAAAACATTAATTTTGATTGTTATCGTTTGTGCATTTTCTGTTCACACCTTCTATTTGAATTTCGATAATACGAAAACATAGAATTAACAGCAAGGTGAGTAACGAATATGATCAATTTCAATTAAAATTAGAACTTGATATATTGTATAAATTTACAATCTTTCTGTTGTTTGAAGTTACTTGGTTCGAATGTTTCCAACTTCATTGTTTTCAGCTATAAAATGATAGAAATACTTGTATTCCATAATAAATTATGTACCCAAAATCTGATAATTGTTTAGAACATCCTCTTGGTATATTGTGTGAATGTAAAGAACATCAAGAAATATTAAATAAATTTATGTTTTACTGTATTGGATCGCGACACTATTCACTACCCAAGATGAATGTAGGTGAGCAAAAGTATAAATGCATTAATATGCAACGATATAAATTATTAAACGGTATTTTAAATTCCTTGATTTATATTAGAACCAGTTGCTTCAGCAAAGGTTTTGTGGATAAAAAATCCTATCAAATTAAATGAAGAGTTTACGAAACCTATGCTTGATTATTCTGAAACAAAATTAGATATTAATGCTCAAAATGTAGACAAAATATGGGTACCTCTAGTATCAGACCTAATACCGCTAAGAGACATCAAACTAAAATTTTGATTCTATTGCTATATATCGCAAATAATTTACCACAACTATTTACAGAATATTTAAATTAACGAAATATACATACTTAAATTAATGGTATCCTATATTTCAATATTTTTCACAAAAATTCATTATACAATAAATCTTTTTACATATATTTTTTGCAACATAATAGTTGTAACTTTATGTGTAAATGTTTGTATGTACATACGCATGAATAGAAATGTGTTCGCATAAATATACACAGTAAAATTATAATTCTTTCCTATTAAAAGCTTCAGATATAACATGTGTTTTTTAATATGGTTTCAAAATAAAATGTGATGTTTTCATAAATTTCTGCAACATTCTAATATTTCTTTCGTTTAAAAATATATATGTCTCAACAACCATAAAAACAAATGATGCAAAAATGACCAAACAATTTGTATTTGTACTCTACAAAATTTTTTGTTACTTTAGCCTAATATTATTATTACTGTTATTATCATGCCTATCACCATCGTGTTATAAATATATAATAAAAATAATATATACATATTTTAATTATCACTGTTTGTAGAGTATATACCTGGTCACTTTTAATATACAAATAGTCGTATAGTGTGCATAAATCCATAATATTTATGTGTAACTATATATATTCTTAAAAATTTATCATTTATTTGTGTTTCAGTACATTTACAAGTGATCGATCACCATATTAACGATCGATAGTTTTATCTGTGCTCTAGCTTTTCTAGGAAGTCTATGCATATGAGGTGCGAGTTTGCGTAAAAAATATTTAACTTCACTTCTAATTGGAAACATTGTTCTACGCATTGTCCCTGAAACTTTTTTACGTCGTACGGGTTTTTCTTCTTTCGGAGATAAACATTCTACTTCTTCAAAGTCCTCGTAAAAGTGATCCTCCTTTACATTAATTGCTTCCTCATCTAACACTTCTAATGCGTGTGGTAAAATAACTTCTTCGTGTACTTCTAATTCTTCAGAAGTTATTTTATTCTCTGTTTCTTCTGGAGAAATTGAAAGAAACTCAACTAAATTTTTATCTGCCTCTTGCTTAATCTGTTTTATTACTGGCAATGTGACTGTTGCTTGACCATTTTTCATCCATACTTGTTGCCTTGAATCAGTTTCATTAGAGTTAGTAGAAGTATGAGTAATTTTTGTTCTAGTTTGCTTTTTGTTAGCTTTCACGGATTTTTGTTGATCTTGTTCAGGAAGATCTATCTTAATTAGTAAACCTGGAGGTATGCTAGATAAACTATGCACTGGAATAGGAGCACCTAAATTTGATATGTCACCAGTGAATGGTAAGATCACTTTCTTTATGTTGCCTTGAATATTATTTGTAATATTTGATGTAATATTATTAGATATTGTTATAGGTTGGAACTGATCTGTAAATTGGATTTTCCAGTTAGAAGTAGGAGGAAGCGGTAATTTTTTTATCACACGATTTTCAATATTATTAGGATCAGGCCTTGGAATGTTAATAAGTGTTGGCCTTTTAGATTTCCCACGCTTTTTTGCAAGAGGTGTAGGCTTATTATCTACCTTTGGTTTTTTACTAGATACTAAGGGTCTTAAGAAACCTTGTTTTTTAATTCCTTTACCAGGATTAGTACAATTAGATTCCTCTAACACATCTTGTTCATCTTCAACCTGTTCTGTTGAATTGACTGAGTTTAACTGTGATACATCCCTTATAGTTGGAACTGCATCACATGGTCCTATTTTATGAAAATTTTGCCCTGTTTGAAAATGTTTTGAACACAATACTAATTTCCTTATTTGATTTGGAGACATCTTCAATAAATCCTCTCTGCCTAAAAATTGACACCACCTCAAACATCTTCCAATCTCATACGCAGGAAATGGATGAAATTTATATCTTTCTATTTTATTCTTTGGATCAGATCTTGATCTACCACAGGCAGCGCATGCTTGACTTTCTAACACAGCAGGTGGTAAAGGTTCTAACTTTTTATGTTTCTCTGATGGACTATATGATTTTGTGTCAGATACAAATTCCATAATATATTCTTCAGATCCATTCAATTGATCAGGATTGCGAATATTGGGAATAGCATTGTCTATCAATCTGCTTTTGTATCCAGGCATAAATTGGGAATGGTCAAAATGTTTTGAACAGATGTAACAGAATAAAATTTCTTTTCTCGTCAATCTGTAATATGAATCTACACCAACAAAATCCAGCCATTTTAAGCATCGAAATTCTTCACCAGGAAAATGATGGAAAGTTGCACCATCATAATCCAAACCTGGTGGATCTCTACGTGAACGACCGCACAATACGCAAGTTATATTGTATAAACTTTGTTTAGGATCATAAATAGAAGGTACTGCGATGCAATTTAATCTATCAAGATATTCATTTACAAAATCCTTTTGTTCAAAATGCTTGGAACAAATCATTCGTTGAAGCAACTGCTTTTTTGTAAGTTTATATAAATCTTCGCGGCAACAGAATTCCAACCATTTTCTACATCGAGCTTCATCATTAACAGGAAATCCAAAAAACATATATTCTTCTTCCCTATTATTTGGATTCATACGCGAACGTCCACATACAACACATGGATGTGGCATTTTTCTACTTAATTTTTATTCTATACTTTCGTCAAATAAAGTATCTCATCTTGTGACAAAATCATAAGTTCTCTTTTCCTTATAATAAATAACACAGTCTTAAATGATTACAGTTAAATTATTTTTTCATAATCCTTTTGTATACGATGTACTTTTATGATGTTTGAATAATAAAATTCAATAATAAGATACAATAACCTCTTCATTCTTTTCTTGATACTGCATAAGTCTTATGTATCAAACGTATTCATGAAGTGCAGTAATATTAAGAAAGTACAACAGATCAACATTTACTTTAATACACTTTATCTTTATAAGCAAACATTAAAAAGTCACTTTCTTTACACTTTATTGCACTTGTTGCATTTTTTCCAAAAGTTCGTGAAAGGTTATGTTACTCGTTACAGCGTCTTTTACCTAACCTTTCATAAAATATTACATCCTCAACTTGGCAATACACTAACCTAACATTCTACAAAGCTCCTACTGTCAAAGTAGTTTTGTTGCAATAGAAAAGCTAAAGATATGGCAGAAAATTCTAATAACCCATATGATATTAATGGACAACATTTTAATCCTGATATGTACTTTCAAAAATTATTAAAAGTAAGTTTACTTTTGCATTTTCATTACATCTTGTGGTTGTCTGACAGTAAAAGACAATGTTGCCTCTTTTACAGGAATGTACTTTGAAACAAATTATGGATCATAAAGCAGAAATTATAAAAAATACCCAAACATTACACTCTGATATGCAAACATTAGTATATGAAAATTATAATAAATTCATATCTGCTACAGACACCATCAGGAAGGTAAATCCAGGTGCTTTAGCAATTAAATTTAAGACATCTGATATATTAATAACCTGCAGTGTGTTTATCTATTATTTAGATGAAAACTGATTTCAAAGAAATGGAAGAAAGTATGGACCTATTGGCAAAAAACATGGACAGTATTACTTCTTTTTCAGAACAGATTTCATCAACATTACAAGGAACAAGGCAACAAATTTCCAAATTATCTTCAGTTCATGCTCTCTTAAAAAAGTTGCAATTTCTATTCAAATTGCCTAGTAACTTGAAAGATAAAATGAACGAAGAAAACTATAGACAGGTCTACATTTCATTTTGTGCTATGAATTATACGTTTCATTTAATTTAGATATTAAAGATATTAATTAAAGGGCCCTTTCTCTTATTTCTCTTAGGCGGTACAAGATTATATTCATGCACAAAGAGTATTAAATCAATATGGCAATATGCCTTCATTTCAAGGAATACAAAAAGACTGTGAAGATATTCTGGAGGAACTGAAATCAAGATTAAGGATGCAGTTTCATAAAAGAGATGCATCAACTAAATCCTTAGCAGAAAATGTAGATCTTTTATTACAGTTAAAAGAACCAGCTGACTCTTTGTGTGCTGAATTTTTAACACATGCAGATGGAAGATTAATGGAACAATTAGACATTCTAAAAGATATGTGTGAAAATGATATCATAGAATTTGTAGATATGGCTAGTTCTGGTTTTCTTAGTGACTTGTGTCTTATTGTTGCATCCTACAATGATATGTTCATAAACAGACCACCAGTAGAAGATAACCAGTTCACAGATGATTTTGATACAAAAGCTATCGCACGTTTAAATAATTTTATCATGAGAAATATGAAAAAGTATTTTGATCTTATTGGAAAGAGGGTAGAAAATGTAGCCGATACAGCAGTGTTAGTAAGAGCATTGGATAAATTTCACAGGAGGCTACAGGCTATGAATATGCTGTGCAAAGAAACAGACTTTGCAAGGTAATAAAAATATAAACTTTTAATGAAATTATCAAAAAGCAGAATATACGCTAAAGTATATACTGTTATTTACTAGGATAGGTACAGACATTGTCGTCAACGCAGGTAGAAAACAATGCCGTAATCACTTGGACAGTTTAAAGTCTCACCTAAGTGAGGGACTCGTTAAAGTAAGACAAATATTGGCAACTAAAGTTTCACAAGAAGAAGATGGTAGTTTAGCCGAGCTTCAAGCATTACTTATTATGCCTACTATTGAAAAAGTTAAAGGTGTCTTACAAGATCTATTGGTTAGTGTATTATCTTTAATGTTGTTTCTTATAATCCTAATCAATCGATACCAACTGATTTGGAATAATAAAATTTCAGGTATTTTTGCAACCGGATTTGTCATTCAATTTAAAGACACAATTTCTACAAGACTTTTGTGTGGACGAAGTTAGAGAAGGCCTAGTAGTTGGATTTCTACATCATTTAATGGCTACAGCAAGTGGATTCTGTACTGGATCCGATATTCCAAAGTTTCCACCTACTCTCCTACTCTTATTGAGCAAAATGTGTATTGAATACAAAGAGAACAACGTCAAGTATTTGGTAAAATGAATGATGCGAATGTAATTTAAACAGCTCTAACTTTAAGAGACGTAGATGATCCTAAATTTTTCAATTACAGCTTACTACCACCAATGATTTGTTTAACATCGAACAGTATACATCAGCTGCAAACGTAACAACTGACTCAGAGATATGCGAAAAGTTTCAAGAAGCGGCACAAAGTCTATTAAACCATTATGTTCGTATTCAAGGTTTAGCGGTATCACAAATGTTAAGAATATCCGTGGAGACAAGAGATTGGTTACACACAATCGAGCCAAGAACAGTTAGATCTGTAATGAAGAGAGTCGTAGAGGACATAACAAAAATTGATACACAAGTTGCTGTTTTGTACGACGACTCGGACGGTCAAGTCGACAGAAGCAGCGACAGCAGTAGAAAAACACACAGGTACAAAATTCTGTTTGTCATACGATGAATAATGTATCAGTATCAGTATCGGTAAATGATTTGTTTGTTTATTTCAGCGTGAGTGTTTCGAGACATCACTACAGATCTAGCTGGTCATCGTACACGCCCAGTCATATAGACTCTTCGTTGATGACAAACATTCACAAATTATTTTCTGAACGTATAGAGATATTCTCGTCGGTTCAATTTAACAAAGCCTCCATTTTAACCGGGATCATCAAGATCAGTTTAAAGGTAAAATACTTTTAGCAGGCACGGTACCGTAATAGAAACAGGTGCTGTTCGAGCAGTTACAATGATAAAATAGCACAGTCATTATCCACTTTGCATCGCGAGGATACCTTTATTCTACGTCTACTGCATACTACGCAACATACTTTGTTCATTTATCACTATCAAGAATCAACACTTGGCTCGAAACTAACGATAAAGATTCCTCTCTCTTTGTCCGCAGACTTTTCTGGAATGCGTCAGACTAAGAACTTTCAGTAAATACGGTCTACAACAAATTCAAGTCGACACTCATTATTTGCAACTATATTTATGGAGATTCGTCTCGGATGAAAAGTAAGTTTGCAAAGATCAATTTACTCTACAATTGAAACTATTTAATATGAAATTTTTATTACAGTGTTGTTCATTTTTTACTGGATGAAATACTTGGAAGCGCTGTACATAGGTGTTTGGAACCAGTTTTAATGGAGCCAAGTGTCGTGGATATTATTTGTGAGAGAGCGAACAGCGAACCATTATCAATGTTAAATATGCGAATGACGTAGTAACATTATTGGGATATATTGTACAGTCTTTAGTATTGTTGCGTGTAAAGATTAAAGATATTTATTGATTACTATTATTGTACATTTCATAAATAAATTTTCTAAAGAACTCCTGAAATGAAAAGACCTATCTCTGGGCTAATTGTTAATTCGCATGATCGCCCACGCAGATCGAACGCTACGGGGCTGAAGCATAGCGTCAAAGTACTACTAATTCAAGTAACACGATGCACGACATACTTTTCTGTCTTTCCTTCTTTAACAATACGATCTTTCATCTCTTTTCCTTTGCCCTCCCCACCTATCCGGGATAAAATAAACTCATCAAAGTCTTAGTAAGCTATAAAGAAGCAGGGTCAAATGATTCTAATAAGTCTTAATTCTCTTCTACATCCTGCACTTTCGAACTCTATTATCAATTTTGTTTCCTAAATAATTACCATCATAAAAATGGCATGCTATCATTCTTGTTTCGCGTTTGGAGAGGACTATCGAATTCAAAAAGAACCATATGAAATTTCTAAGATGGCTAATAGAAATTTAATCTAAATTTGGATTTAAATTTGTTTGAAAATGAAAAATGTTGAAACGATTGAATCGTTAAATGTGCAAAGAATAAATGGGACAAGAGTTTATGGTATATGGGGTTCAGTTGTACCCCCTTGGCAGTGGCTCGAGTTAATTCGAACTTCCTCTCGTTGGATGAGATTCATTCTCCGAGTATCCGGCGTAGGCCTACGCACAGCATTCTACCCAATTTAATAAACTCTTCTAAATTGCTCGACCGGGGCCATTCCCTCGTTCAATCATGAATTTTCCCTGGAAATCCAAGGAAAATTCACTAAATTTCACTCGGCTAGGTCGGCCACGGAGTCTGCCTTTGCCATCATTGTTATTGTCAACATTTATAGTTGCAATTATTCAGAATACTCCCAGAATGGAATCATGAACTTTTCTAAAATTGATTTCCCTTCATTAATTGATAGTGCCAATCACCGATGGCTCCTACGTTATTCATCTATACAATCCTCGAAATGTTTGCGCCAATCGCTATGAAATTTATATAATCTACATTTAATCTGTGTAAGAACAGAATTCGAACCGTAAGCATCTATTTCGATCTAAGACAAGTCAAATATATATTCTTCAAGACCAGAACAGCTATATCGCGTTGTAAAGGCATCTGTGGCACACGTGATCTCCGAAAACACCTGTGCACGTGTGGCCTCTGCATGTTGCGAGCTGGATTTCCGACGACATGCTCATTTCGACTTAAACCGTTGCCATATAGATGTTGACGAACAACGAAATTGTGTACAATTGTGTTACTTGTGTACCAAAAATAAAAAATTTATCTAAAATGCAATACTAATCAAAGTATCCTTGCAGAACAGGTGAGTGTTGTTTATAAGAAATAGCATAATTACAAATATCAACGTGCCCTCCATATGCGATGATGTTTAAATATTTTCTAATTTGCAACGGTCTAATCATTTATGTACCATTATCAGTAATCCCGTAATATCAACTTTTATAATAATTTACTGTAAATGTACAAAAATTCTGGTCGTATAGAGGGTTCAAGAAGACTGACCGGGCAACGTGATATCGATTCACGTTTTATTTAGACGAGACTAAATGAAAGTAGCCGTCGTAATCGATGCACAATAGATCGTCGTCGATGGAAGAAAAGGCCACGTAACACAGGGATTGTATACTAATAAAAGGTACGAGGCGCGTGGCTTAGATCGTTTTAAATCAGTAAAATGGACCCGCATGAGAAAATCGAGCCTGAATCTATCTCCAGCCAGGCCTCGTGTGACGATTATCACGAAATGACCAAACTATTTCTATAGAGCGATTGGTGCTGCAGCACGTAACGCATTCGGTGCCATAGGGGCACACGGATCGCATACACAATCGGCAAGTTGTCCTTTTCCTCCATTAAACTCCCTGTATATGACTACCCGTCATTCTTCGTCAATTTGCACGGACGAACCAGCTCACGGCCCTTCGACCAATTATTTGCTCAACGAATTTCTAGCCTCGACGTCGATAGCCTTTAACGGTCGAGAAACACGCGTGTGGAAAAAGGACAACTTTCAAGAACTTCGATACAGATGATTCACCATCATGACCAACTATTTAAACTGATGGATCTATTTGGGATACTATGTATTTATTCTATTTACTTACATTACGATGAGAAACGATGTTTGGACGCAACAGGACAAGGTACGTAGAGATTGTTGATAATGTTGAATGTGAGAACGATTTCAAATCTTCTAATTCACTTTCTCTTTTCTGAAACAGAAACAAAGGAGGTTAGAAATACGAATACGAATGTTTAAACAATATATAAGAGCTTTTTCATATTATTTACAGGAAAGAATTCGAATCAAAGAAGATATTTCGATTTGTGACCGTAATAATGGGCGGGAAATGAACGCGCTCGTTGCTACGTTCACAAATTAAACTATCTTCTCGGCAGGTGTCTCGCGAAACGGTATCGATAAATCGAACAACTACCCTATTGGTAAATAACTTCTCGATCGAGAACGTTCCTTCGGTCACGATTTCCATGGTAAATCGAAAGGAAAAGTAAGCACGAAATGCGATAAGAAATATCGTGTGACTAATGACTAGGAAAATTAGATCCATCCCGGCATATATATTTGGGCCTAAATTTCGTGTAACGCAGTCAGAAAGCAATTGTCAAGGATTGCAGAGCTCAAGAAAACTTGCTTGTCTACTTCAATTTGCTTTTCTGTCTGCTAAGTAGTAGTGCCGTAGGTGATATTCTACAAATTCACCTCGACACGATTACTTTTCATACAGACAAGTAACAGCTACAATATTTCGAAAATATTTTGCCAAATATTTCAACAAATACCATTAGATAGCAGTTTTGGTGTTAAATTTAGTATTTTTAACCGATGAAGTTGGATGTAAATCTTACCTGCGCGGTCAGAACATGGCGCGGGGGAACCTTCAGGACGTTGGAAACGGTTTCGTCTGTTTTCAGTTAATCGAGGTCTTTAAACGCGTTACTAATATTACACGATTTATTACCGAGACTTTATTGATTGATTTTTAGCAAAGAGCCACTTATTACACCTCCAAAAGTAAAATATACACGGAAAACAACTAAGAGGGACGCGGGAACACCACTTCCGAATACACCGAACCGGAAACGAGGAGAATCGAAAGGATATCTCTCGGCCAATCAGCGCCACGAACGCTTCATCGTTCGAGTCCGCGGTTCTCATAGGATGTACTGCTGATATCAAATCAAGGTTGTTTAAAAAAACATATATTTGTTAAATTTTGTAAGAATATTACATTAAATTATTCATTTTAATTTTATACGTATTTTTAAATGTGACCAATGATTTATTTTTGTTACAATATTAATACCTACTAACCTACGTTCATAGGTTATGGTCAATGTAGTACATTCAAAAAACATTGTACTAATTTCAAATAAGGAAATAAATCGTGCATAAAACAATGATTTAACACAATTTCTATGTCGTGAATTTGAAATATAACTACTTTCTTTATTATATTCGAACATTTTCGACGTATTAAACGTTCGTTCCTGTACAGTTCGATTTCGAATCGTATTTCGATACGGCGGAATAATTGAATTGGCGGTAAGCGAAAGTTGAAAAGCACTCTCAATAGAGAGAATCTAGCGAACGGTTGTGTCGTCAGCCGCGCGATTCAAATCGTGCGCCAAGGCAAGGCAATAAGGATTTGGTCAGTCGGTGAATGGTTTGATAACAAGCGATGGAAGGCAGGCACAGGGGAGACGCATATTGCCCGTCGGTTGGCCGACCATTCAGTGACGCGATTCTTCACTGTCCGGCACTGATTTCAATTGGTAAATTGATTTGGAACGATGGTAAGAGAGAAAAAAAGAGAGAATGATGAGGTTAGACGGGGGTGGAGAGGTTTGGAGGCCATAGTATGCAGAAGAAGATAAAGAAAGAACCATATACACCACCATCGTGACTGGGTGTACCGTCACACAGCACAGAAAACGATGGCGGTGGCAGTGGCAGTGCCTCTCTTGCGAACCGTTAATAGGTACTGAACGCTGGTTGAATGCTTAATGCACCGTGCTTCTAGGATTAAATTGACCAATCATTTCCCGCGCGGCAAGGAGCGGCCAATTACAGCGCTCGTCCGACTATATTAAGCCAATCAAGAACAGTTTATCGCTCAGTCGTCGGTCTGCTGTCGTATCGCATGTGTCGTGCGCGTGTTTCTTTTTTTTTTTTTTTTTCAAATAATTGTAACTCTTGAAACAAATGACTCGCGTGAGAAGAAACGACCACTTGTCACGAGTTTGCCCGCGATATTTGTCGGTTTCAACGAGATCGTTCAGTGCTAAGCTCGCGTTTTTTACAATTTATCCCCGTTTAACGTCGCGGATATGTCGCGAATGTTTGAAATTGTTGGATCGAATCGAACGAAGAGCAGTTCGTTAAATTAAAAGGAAGAATTGTGCAGGAACGCGGGAAAGTCACGTGAAAATAATGTTCCGAGCGGGAACGCTTATTTTTCAACATACGCTTCGCACGTATGGTAATACTCATTCATTCCTAGTGGCGTTTCGTATTTCATTCGAGATCATGTTTCTTGTGATTACCGTGCATTTCCTGTTGTTAACTTTTTCATTGATCGATCGAGCTCCAAATAGTTGTCGCACTTCTCTTCGAAATCGAATCTAGATAAAATCAGTGCAGTGTTCACGAAAGATCTCAACGATATTCCGAGGTCACTGGGTGAGATCGTAGCAAACGATGACGATTCCGAAGAGCTAAATGCATCGTGTTATTACATTAATAACGACGGAAGAACGCATCAATGACCAGTAATGTTGAATAGAAGCTAAAGGTCATGAGATTTCCTTCGATTGTTCGGTCATGTACGACACGATTACTCTTGAATGTTAAACATAGTACAGGAGCCTAATAATATGTATTGTTTTTAGGAATCATTCGCATAGCTATTAGCTTTATTAAAAACAGAATAACAACAACGTAAATCACGTGTTCAAGAAAAATCGACTTGTTTGTATGGATTAGATATCAAAGTAACTTTCGTCTTATTTCCCTCGTAAATACGTTCACGACCACGCAAATAAGATTAACTCCTAACCACTAAAGTCACCTCCGATAAGCGGAAACCATTATTAATACATTTTGCGAGAAACATTCGCCGATCTCGCTGTAATTCTTACCGACGATCGTTCAGATTTGTCTTCTTTCGATTGTTCGGTAGAAAACATAACTCTGTATAATCCTAACACCGATACACGATCCTTTATCATGGCTCGGTTTTCTTTCATTCGCGAAGATACATAGGCCGTTTGCGTGCTCCTCAAAACTCGATTGCTCCCAACTACATACTTATGTTTTTCCATACTCGGTTTACATCTGAAACGAGATCGCACGCGACCGCACATGTAACCCCGCAAAAGTATCGTTCCAACCTGACACTTGACAAACATATCGAAGCCTCGAGAAATAAAACGAGAAGGAAAATGCACCGACACGATCATCGGTGTCGATCAAGGAAACGAAAAGCATCGTAGTCCACCTACGAAAACAAACGATTCTTCCTTACAAATATGTACAACATGCTGTACATTGTAATTAAAGGCATGATTTGGTTGTTCTGAACATAATGGTACCCGGAACCGTGGTTCGCTTTTATCTTTGCGACTTCTTGACCCCGACGCGTACGATAATGTCTAGAAACACGAGAGAACGGTCTCCGAAGAAAGTCGAAGGTCCTAGAATCGGAGTAGCATCGATGAAATAAAGTTTTTAACGAGAGAACTTTGAACGTGTAGGTTCAAAGCGAAAACGGTAACGATGCCGGAGGCCAGAGAGTTTATTCACAGCTTCCTGTTACCTGTTGCATCTTCTCAATCTAGGTCTCTCCTGTCCTCTCAACTGTCGGGAATGACGCAATAATTGTAAGGCGAAAAATTGTGTCCGTCGAGACAGTTACGGGAAAATCGTAAACTATATCCCGATCTTGATACGAAAGACTCGTCGCTCTTAAAATAGAACAACGCTTTCGGTCGCGACGAGACACACAGTGGTCCAGGCTTTCTCGTGGCACCGCGAGATTTTTTCCCAACCGCGTGTCGGTAGGATTTTTCTCAAGTATCTTTTCGAGGCACGAATCGCATTTTTTTTATACATTTTCGTTCCTGGAACCCTCCTTCGCTTCTCGGAATCTTCTTTTCCCTCCCGTCTGTCATCCACCCACAATTTGCGCATCGTTGCCTAATAAGTTGACGAGCTATTTCACGAACACCCAGAGGGAGCCGACATTAACAGAAATTAACGTTAATTGGTCTACTACTCCCTCTATTTTCCCCTTCTTCTCTCCGGTCCGATGGTTCACGACTTCCCCTTTTCTGGAATTCTTCGCTTCTTTCTTTCGATCCTCTTACGTATCCGTTTTATCTTTCTCCTCGTTCGCCGTTGAACGTACTTTTTCTCTTTCATACGTCTGATCTTCGTCGAAGAGAGGAAAAAACGAAGCGCTACCAGCAAGAGAAGAGCAAGCGCGCGCGCGCATTATGCGTGCAAGATGCGTGGCAGAAGGGGCCGCGCGTCCAGCTGAATCTGCAAGACCCGCGACATCTTCTAGTAATCCTCTTTGGCTTACGATGGATTTGCATTTTTAACTCGACATTCTCGCAACAGCAGTCCATTTCGTTTTGCGGATACACAACTATTCGATAACGATGAATAGAAGAAGATGAAGAAGAAGTTCGGTGGTTGTTACTTCTATGCTTCACTAGCGCCGTGAATCATCAAACAGAAGTCTCGGAGAAATTTGTTCGAAAAAGATCGTGCTGACCAGATCCATCGACTCGTACCACGACTAGTGAGACGGATGAATACGATGTTTGATGAAACGAGAAGCGTTATACGGAGGGACGCGGACCGACGAAATCAAAGATTCGATTGTAGGCTCCCTCTCTCTATCTCGAGTGCACGCATTTCCGTAGACGATATTATTATTCACGATATTCGTTTCATTTTACTTTCTCAAAATAACTAGGAAATTCACTTTCTCTTCTTTCTTGTATTTTGCAGCGGAACCGATCGACGAATTTAAGTAAGGTCTAATAACGAGAGCAGGGACGTGTTAATCGAAGTCCCCGGCACCTTTGGATGCACCTTTTCGTTAGAAGAAAAGGATCTCTGATTCAGAGCATTGTGAGGACTGAAGCAACAGGTTTCAATGCGATGTGGTGCTGCTTTGCGTTTGAAATTTCTTGGAGAGAAGGAAGAAGGGAAGAAAGAACGAAGAGGCTACAATAGTGGGCGACTTTAATGACTTCTCGAGGTCGCTTCAATGAGTACCACTGTGTGTCAACGCGTCATTATAGTTTGCACGATATATAGTATACGGTACCACGTCCGGGCTAATAACTATGACGTAAATTTTTACTATCGGTACCGGTTAGTAACAACTTTATATTTTTGAAAAAAATCTGTCTATTAGCGCGCTAATTCTTATAAATAGGGTAACTTTATTGATTTAGGACTTCTATCCGTTTCGTAAAACGATTATAGCGTACGCATAGCGAATGTGTCACGCAATATCTATGGGGCTACTGTATTCTTCTGTCGATTATCTAATCTTGCGCTAAATTATAGCGAATCATACTCACTTACGTTACATTAGGATTTTCTTACAGGATAATTTCATTTGTTACAATTTCAACCATATTACCGTGTAATATATTTCACCGTATTAATACGTTCTTGAATACACGAATGCGCTCATACCGTGAACAAGGCTCTTCATTGTTTGTTAGTGAAGAATAGGCCTAACTGTGCAAGAACTAATACACTGGCTATTTTTTTTCTCTCTCTCTTCTTGAAGTAATATTTTTATTGATTAATTCTGTACGATACTGTTTATTATAGGGATTTGAAGTAACATGCCCAAGGAATAATATGACCGTCGATGGAATCATAAGATGAAGATGGACTACGATCAATGGATCATAAATCCTGTCCTGTTCCTAAGTACTAGTGCCGCAGGAGTGATTAGGTTGGGTTAGAAATTACCATATCTCCTGCTGCTCAAGTGCTTATCAATGGGTCGGGACGCACATCTACTTCTTCGTTCATATGCTGATACTTCTATATGAATTGGAATATCTTTCAAGCAATATTGCAGTTTATTATATCGCAGTTGCGTATAGTACAACATAAAATTGTTTTTATGAAAAAATGAAAAAAAAAGTTGTTTTGGAGGAGCTGGGATTTGAACCCAGGACTTTCAGCATGCGAAGCAGACACTCTACCACTGAGTTACACCCCCATTTAAGTAGAGCTTCTTTCGCTTTGAAGAAGAAGCGCATAATTTTATTTTAAATAAAAATAAACAAAGAATTAATTTTATTCTATTGTATATTAAAAAATAAGATCGTCCAATCTAATTTTGTATTTTTAAATATATTATTATATTGTATTTTGTATTATTGTATTATTTTGTAATCAATACGTAATGAATAAAGATATACTGCCTGAATATCTACATTTTTGAAAATAATAAACATTCTTCATCATATTTTAACTGCATTAAAGCTTTTCAACACAGCTGTACAGTAATAGTACTGTCAACCGATAACATAAAGGAATATTTGGTAAAAGTTATATGAGAAAAAAGGAATAGATGAGACGACTAACAATAAGACGCAACCAGTGACTACAGATGCAAAAAGACTAGACATGCCTTTGTTCTCGAGGAACATGATTTTGGGAGTTTCAAACACCCCCAAGTGAAGTTAGGTCTGCGTGCAGAGAGCAGAGTCGGTATTACAGTCGCGCCTGTTTTAACAATCCCTCTACTACCACGCCGCACATACGCAACAGACACTGAAGACACAATTTTGACTCCCTTTGATTTTATTTTTTTGGAAATCAGTTAAAATCGGCACCAGACCCAAAAATTATTAAAAGAATGTGTTTTTTTTGTTATCAGTGCGAGGTGGGGTAAGAGAGAGACTGGTAAAACAGGCATGATTATCATACTGACTGTGATCTCTAAGTGCAGACCTAACTTCACCTAGGGGTGTCTGAGACCCACTACAGTCGTGACCCTCGAGAACAAAGGCACGTCTGGTCTTGTTGTATCTGTAGTCACTGGTACGGTTCTACTAGGTTCTACTGATGTCGCAACGATTCAATCTAACCTCCGAAAAAAACTAGCAGCGTCCTACTCGAAGTAACTGTCAGTTCACGGTACGTCATCGCAAAAAGATTCGAGTAAGGTTATTTCGTACATAATCGACTTGTATTAGTTCGTCAACCGATTAGGTTTGTTCTGTGTTTATTAATATTTCATAGTTGATTGCTTCCGATATATTTAACTGTTTTACACTTTCAGCGAATCCACGTCTACGACACATGGCTAGCAGATCGTTGTTAGATGGTAAATCATAAAAACTTAAGTACGTCGAAGCCAAGGATAAGAATAGTGTCTCAATCGAAGAATTGGAACGGTATTCGCCACGGCTTTCACAGAGATGGTTGGATTGGCGGGCGGGGGAGGTCATCTGTATCCCTCGCCCCCAATGCAACCTAATCCAGAATGTAAGTTCTGATTATGCTATTTTGTACAAATGTTCCAAATTTTGATGTTTCTTTGGTACTCCGTCGACACAAATTTATTATATAATATAAATACCTGTGTATAGTGAGAGAAATGACAGGAATCGCTCCTAGTGCCCCGACTAGTGCAGATGCATGTTTAAGTATAGTACATTCGCTCATGTGCCACCGTCAGGGTGGTGAAAGTGAAGGATTCAGCAAACGTGCCATTGAATCTTTGGTGAAAAAACTTAAAGTGAGCATTACTACTTAAATAAATTTATATTATTGAGAAACTTGATTCTAAGTTATGGAAGAATTCATATTTTTATTTTTTCAGGAAAAGAGAGATGAATTAGATAGCTTGATAACAGCTATTACTACAAATGGAGCACATCCCAGTAAATGTGTTACAATACAGAGAACTCTTGATGGTAGGCTACAAGTTGCTGGTCGTAAAGGTTTTCCACATGTTATTTATGCACGAATTTGGAGATGGCCAGATTTACACAAGAATGAATTAAAACACGTCAAATACTGCCAGTTTGCTTTTGACTTAAAATGTGATTCTGTATGTGTAAATCCGTATCACTATGAGAGAGTTGTATCTCCTGGCATAGGTATGTTATGAAACATATTTTTTGCTTATTTCCATAAAGAGATCATGTGCTTCAATCAACATTCTTTTCGTTGCATTGTTTCTTTCCAAAGCTTCTGTGAATTCATTTGTAGCACCATAAGTGTAAATGATTTATTGTTGTGGCCTTGGTGTATGATGGAATGGGTTGGTTTCCCCGCACAGACCCGTTCTTTACAGACCTATCTGGGCTGACTCTACAGTCGGGAGTAGGCGTGGGACCAGGTAGATTGGTCAAAGATGAGTACTCGGTTGGCGGTGGTGGAAGTGCAGCGGCCGGTGCAGTAGGAACTGCAATGGATGTTGATGGAGAAATGAACCAAACTATTCAACATCATCCACCTGCTCAACCTACATCATCCAATAACACTCAACCCTCTCAACAGAGTTTTATACCAGGCTTAGCTCCGCCTAATCCAAGTAAGTAAAATTTTGTACTTATTTTTTGGAAAATTTTATTATCCATTGTAAAAATTGTGTATTATCAAGATAATGACAAATATTTGTTCATATACAAAATGCTTTGATTTATTTAAATATGAAGCATGTGTATGTAATAAAAATTTTATGATATTGAGAAATGCATATAAGTAAAAGAGGTGCTTTGTTGTTGCAATATTAGATTATAAAGAACTTTTATCTTTTTCTTGCAAATTTTTTATTAATAATGCTTTATTTGGTATTACCTTTCATTGCTAGTTCAGTTTCATTTTAGCTTTATTCTTTCTTTTTTCCTTTTATTGTTTGACACAGCTAGTGGTGAGGGTGTGTTTGGCAGTAATGGGGGAGGGAATAATAATGGTAACCCACACAATAAATTGGATGAGAATAATTGCCCCAGGCAAACCTGGATTCCTACACCTCATCATCCTACAACGCGTAACATTCATCATCGTACGTATATAATAGAATGCTTTTTTATATTCTTATTATTTTCCGTCTATTTGCTGTTTTTTTCTTTTGCTTCGTGCCAACTTTGTTGAGATCGGTAGTAAAATTTTACATGTAATTATTTTCAGAAATTATGGACAGTTTGAGTATGATTGAAATTTTATGTTCTGTTGCCTGTATTGTGTACGAGTTGTATTTAATTTTGCAGCAGTAGTACATCCAATGAGTCACACCGTAGGTAGCCAACAGCAGTCATTGAGTTCATCTGGTGGAGGTAATGGTGCACAAATGCTGAGTCCTTCCCAGGGACAATCTACTGAAACATTTTATGGAACAAATACTCCTCCTCAAGACCTTAACCAACCATCTACTGTTGATGCATTAACAGCATCCTTAGGTATATGATTGTACTTTTTATAACTTCATTGATATGTAAAATAGAATTAAAAAAAATATATTTTAATTAGGAGAAGGTCAAAGTTCTCCTGTATCACCTGTACACCTTCATCATCCAAATGGATTTCCAGTGGGTACAGCTTCTTACAATTCAGGTGCTCCGCAGTGGACTGGAGCTAATACTCTTACATATACACAAAGCATGCAACCTCCGGATCATAGGCATCTTCATCCTACCTCTTTCTGTGAGTTAATAATAGAAAAATACGTCGTACTATTTTTCGAATTTCATCATTCATATTTCCAATAGGGGGTGGTCATGGAGGTGAAGTAGGTGGAAACATTGGTGGTTTACTTTCTACGCAACCAGCGCCAGAATATTGGTGTTCTGTTGGCTATTTTGAGTTAGACACTCAAGTAGGAGAAACATTTAAAGTAAGCAGCGGTTGTCCTACCGTAACAGTCGATGGATATGTCGATCCAAGCGGTGGTAACAGGTTTTGTTTAGGCGCATTGAGTAATGTACACAGAACAGAACAAAGTGAAAAGGCGCGACTTCACATAGGTATAACAAGTTATGCTTCCCATTCATTTCTGCCAATGATATTTAGTTACTGCAATTACAAACTTTTCAGGAAAAGGAGTTGTGTTAGATTTAAGAGGCGAAGGAGACGTTTGGTTAAGATGCCAAAGTGAACATAGTGTCTTTGTACAGTCTTACTATTTAGACCGAGAAGCAGGTCGTGCACCCGGTGATGCCGTACATAAAATTTATCCTTCTGCGTATATTAAGGTCTTTGATTTACGACAGTGTCACAAACAAATGAGAGGACAAGCTGCTACTGCTCAAGCTGCAGCTGCGGCACAAGCTGCTGCTGTAGCGGGACATTTGACGCATGGAGCACCAATTACTAAAAGTTTGTACATTAGTTTTTTAATTACCGTAGAAGTAATTCTATAAATATTTGATTGATTGTATATTATAATGTAGGTCTTAGCGCAGCAGCAGGGATAGGCGTAGATGATCTCCGACGACTTTGTATTTTACGTTTAAGTTTTGTGAAAGGCTGGGGTCCCGACTATCCCCGTCAAAGTATAAAAGAAACTCCATGTTGGATAGAGGTATGTATAATTTTACCATTGTTAATTATTTTAACAATTGAAGAGTAAGTAAGATACATGCTTGGTATAGGTTCACTTGCACAGAGCTCTTCAGTTACTGGATGAAGTTTTACATACTATGCCAATAGATGGTCCCCGCGGAATTGAATAATTTTATTTTATTTTGAATAATACAAATGTTACAAAAAAGACATCACATTGCTACAAATTCTACATCAAGTGTGCAAAATATATAAAATGCATACATATACGATATAAAAATGTTAAAAACAATGCGAATACGAAGTTCAAAAGAATACATAGAGTTATATTAACCGCGATTTTCGCTGAAATTTTTTATATATTTTACACACATGATTTACGCGTAGAATAAAATGTGTGCCACGGCCTTGCATTACCGTCAACGTACAAACGTCATGCAAAGGAGATATTATTTTTGTTCATGAAAAATTATATTTTAAGAAGAAGGAATCGTATCTACAAAAAACATGCGAAGGTAGGATGAAAGACTTATATTTTAATAGGCAGCAAAGATCTGATTCAAAGGAAAAAATACAGTTTTCATGACATGGTTTAGCGAGCTCAGCAAAATGCATGGGTAAAACGTGATACTTTCGGAAACATTAATAGTCATAATCTCGTTTTTTGAGATTAGCTTTGTAAGATAGCTTAACTGAGATACATCCTACTTAAAGAACGATAAAATACAATGTTTATGTTGAGTATAACAAGTGAACAAATGGGTTATATGTGTGCATAGTAGGAAGGTTTTCTGATGATGCAATACATTTCAAAATACTGTCAGTAAACAATTAGTATATGTAAGTATTATTAAAAATATTGTATAAGTTATTCTATGAATCTATAGTATCAGAGAGGTAATGATAATATACAGTCAGAAAAAAGGAGTAATGAAAGATGTTTACATAGTTGAACATTAAGGGAGCAATTGAATAGTTAAAAAGAAACATTAGTTGTACTGACAGTAATTTGGTATTGTACTGTTAGAGTAACCTTTTGTGTTGATTGTTTTATACTTTACAACCAAAAATCATTACATACTTGCAATATTGGGTTCATAATGATATTTCATACTTGTTCTTTTTTATCTTTTTTTTTCTCGTAAGAACATGAATTAATTCTGTAGTTAGTATTATTATAATTATTAATATAGTTGTTAGCGGTGAGACAAATATGAAATCCTTTAAAACGTGGTACGATCTTGTACTTTGAAAAGTCCAGCAAGAACTGATCATGTTTTATGTGAATTTTAACTCGCTTGTCTCTCCGATAATCAACTACCAATGTTACTACTATTACCATGTAGTACTTGTTGAATAATTATACTTACTGTTTATCAACCATTTTATTATTCTATATTCGTACAAAATATTCTTATATATATGCTATATTTGATAATACCATACAGAGAAAAAGTTGACCAAATTTTATACCTACCCATATATATACATACATATATATCTATGCATATGTATATGTACGCATACCATCATTATGTTATCTTTATTTACTTTTAGATAAAGTGAAAAGTTTACTGCTTGTTTTTATTAATTGATGCAAATTATAGTATTCTGAATTTTTGCTTCTTTGTTATCCTTAAGTAGAGATTATTTAGCTGTTTGTGTTCATGTTGTCCTTGCATTTCTTACATTGCACTTAATCAAGATCAGTCTCATTGATACAAATGCGAGTAGGATTTTGTACATATAAGCATATATTATGAGAGAAAAAAAATGAGTTATTCTTGATTAAGTGAGCGTTCAGTTATTTTGAGATGCTTTATTCTCATTATGTAAAGTTATGTAATATGTTGAGTGGCAGAAACAAGATTGAAAAGAAGGAAATTAATGTAATAACATCGTTTAAGATACAATTTAAAAGAGAGAGTGAGAGAGAGATTGAAAGTTGATAAAAGAAAGAAATAAGTTGTACAATAACAGAAGGATGTAGATTTGTTAATGAATAACAAAATGGAGAATAATGTTATTCGCTAAATCTTTGCAAAGTCTGTATTTTATTGATAAAATACATGATAGATTGTTTTTAACATTTTTTTTTGTCCATACCAAACAAAAGATGCAGAGCTCAAATAAAAAGGAAAAGTCGTGTTTAAGCACACTTACCGCCAAGTTCGCTTTAGAAATATATGTGCCATCATTTTCATACATACCATACATGAAATAACAAACGGGAATAAGAACTTTTATAAATCCTATATTTTTACCAAGCTGATAAAATACGAATGCAACACATGTTTAAATTGTGGTGCTTCAGTACGTCCTACATCCATAGATTTTACAAAGTTCAAAGACAAATTTTGTATATCTACAATTAAGCTGAATTAATCTTATGTGATAATATAAGATGCACTGTAAAAACTGGTACATTTGAAATCAATTGTAGCATTCACAAATAGGGTATAAGATAAGTAAAAATAGGCGTATGAAATAGAATCCAAAGCTCAGAAATTTTACAATGGAAACTGTTCTGCTAACGTGTTCATATGATACTTCAATGATGCCTCTGAACAATAGTTTCATACATACATTAGAACCAGTATCAAAGTGCAATAGCTCTGTCTTATGTCAAAGATACCATAGTTGATAGTTGTAAAAGTAATAAAATGCCTATGTAACTTATGTTAATAATCGAAAAACAACAATGGTAATTTAATAAGGAATATCATAATTATTGCTTTTTTTCTCACTTTTATCAGAGTGTATGCAATATAACTTGCTATCTTAGAAATTTACTGTTTAATATTTTAATACTTAATTCTATTGTTCAATATTTAAATCAAGTAAAAAGGTTTGTTATATTTATTTGATCATTGTCGATTATGTTAGACGTAGCAGTGTATTTTAATACAATGATTCGTCGTTAATTATAGATTTTGAAACTCAAAGATTTGTTCTTAAATTTTAGGAACATATACACACAAGTACATACAATAAGTATCAGAATAGAATTATATCTTAGCATTGCTATTCATATAATTCAAGATAATTACATGTAAAGTAACAGATTACTACTGCTTTTCTACATTTTACAAATAAACTGAAGCACAGATCATTTATCATCAAATGCGTTTATTTAAATTTTCGAGTTTACTTCAAAAATAGTGATCTAATTATCATTGTTTTTTCTAAACAAATTGTGTATGTTTAAACCAAAGATATTCCGATAATACGATTACACCATAATGTTACAAGTATGTACGAAATGTAAAAGTAATTATTCTTAACAAATATGTCGCAATACATAATGCAAGTAAAATCGCATATAAACATTTTAATCATGCGTTCGAACACAATCTCATTCAGGTATAGATTTTCATGGTGTTAAAGTTACGATATTTCAGTGAATACTACAAAAATAAGCCTCATACGAATTAATATCTGTGATTATCGTCGATGCAGGCAAATTACACTATTATATCATTTTTACTCGCAAAACATTGTGTGCGTTTGTAAAACTGTATAACGATAATACATTATTAGGTTGTTAAAATAACATTTGTGCAGATGAGTTGCACGGAGTGTAAGGTATAACAATATGGAAAAACAGGCTAAGAAATCAAAAAAATGATTGATGTCTGTGTACCATGTTGTAATGCACGTGTGCTTACCAAATTTGAATGAATGTGTTTATAAACTTTTTGTTATTGTACATTATAAATACATTACAGTATATATGATCATTTTCAATAAACATATTCTGTGAATTAGAACAATTTATTAAATTAAATTTGATAGTGATGAAGTGAATATACAAATACAATTATGTACAAGGTTGTTATATTTATTTAAACGACTTATCAAGATATAAACAATTTACTGTAGACTACCTATATTCAATTTGTTGCATTTAATGATACAGATACTTTAGGCTCATCATTATAAAAATTACCATTCAGATCAATTGCAGCATTATGATCTACAATAGTTTCTAATGCATCATCAATACTTTTGTCTATGTTTTTAGGAGTAATAAATGTTGAAGATTCTTCTTTTGCCTTCCTAATTTCTGCATCTACTCGTTTTTGAATTTGTAAATCTCTTTCTTGTTTTTCTTTTAACTTCATAGCAATTTCTTCCATACGATTTACTCTCTCATTGGCTAATCTCTCTTTCCGTGCTGCAGCTACTTGTTTATTCCATAAGTCATTTAGATAACTACATACTTCAAAATCCTTTTTCATATTTTCTTCTACAACATGTGTCTCTAATATTTTTATAGTTTCATTGTACTTTTTATGAAAATGTTTTCTGAAACAAACATATTATATCATTTCATGTATTATAATTGTATTATATATAATAATGTTAATAACATACAATACAGAGTTGGACAGTGTTTTATAATTTTGATATAATCGTTGAAGTTCAATCTTTTCATCTTCAGGCATAGGAGCATGCTGTGGTATTCTAAACATTTTAGACTTTGCTGTAGGTAACCAAATTGGTTTCCTCTTCCATCTTATACTTTGAATTTGAGTTCCGTTAAATTTTAAACAGTCACAAGCATTTAAGTTTCGAACTGTTAAAGCATTCGTTCCCAGTGTCACCGATCTCATCATTGTTACAGATGTTTTATAGTAATGTTGTATTACGTTACAGAAGTGTAAACTCACACCTTTATAACAATAATTTTAACCTGGTATCTTGTTGCAATTGAAGTATGTTCTTAAACTATTTTAGACCAATAACATGCAATAACATCAATGTGTTCGAAACATTGTTACATATCTTTTCTTATTAAAATTATGGCAGTGACTACAGTTGTAGAAGACTGGACATGCCTTTGTTTTCAAGGGGTCATGATTTAGGCGCTCCCTGACACCACAAGATGATATTAGGTCGGTATGCAGAGCGCCAACAATGCATCGGGGTCCCTGCTACCCCGGATGCCGATAATGTCGGTATGCAATGAGTGTCGCCGGTGCTCCGGGGTCCCTAATACCTCAATCTGATATCGGGTCGATATTCTTTCTTTCTCTCTCTCTCACACTTTCTTTCTTTCTCTCTCTCACTTTCTTTCTTTTTTTTCTAATTGTTTAGTAAACGTGTATTGTAAAAAGACCGCCATAAATTGAAATTTTTTAAAATTCGACCCCAGCGCCATCTCCTAGAAAGCGGCTCAAACTACTCGACAAGTTACCAACCGATTATCCGAAATAGTGTGGGGAATTTAATTTGTAATTTATCTTATTTATTTTTCTTTTAGAGCGAAGCTCTCCTTGGCGCGTTCGGCAGTAAGATCGGTTCGAAGAAACGTTACGATTCCCCTACCACCTACTACTATTCCTCGGGCCCCTCCCCCTTACTTCTCTCACATTCACATGTTTTGAAAATAATTATTAGTATTGTAGCGAATCTCCAGCGAAATTCCGCGTCGATCGTGCGTACGAGAATGTTTGCGACAAAAGACGATTTCGCCCTCGCGTACGGTGGAACGGCGTTTTTTTTAGTGACCTACATGATTGATTCATTGTTTTATTCATTGTTCATAAGCAACCAATAATTCCACATTGTTCTTAATTTAAGACGATATAACATTTATCGCACGCTTCCCTTGATACCCACGCTGTGCCAATGCGTTAGTTCGCAACCACGAGCACGGTTGACAGCCAACGCTCTCGTGGTTCAATGCGCGCCCTGATTGGCCAGTGTTTTTCCTTAATAATTCAAAAACGAAGCTTCAAACACCATTTTTGCAAAGGAAAATGTTGTTCAGAATCACTCCAGCTATCACCCCGTCAATGGACTAACACTCTTTACGGTACACCCTGTATAGGAAAGAGACAGATCTATACCGCAGTTCACCAGAGTCCATAACTGCGAAAAGACCAGTTTTCGTTCTTCGCGCATCTCCAGTACGCATCTTCGCCCTGATTGGTGATACTCCCAAACGAAGTGGAAAGCGATTAGCAAAGAGCTCGCTGCGTTCCCTCACCATTTTCCAACCTGCGCGTCGCAGTTATGGACTCTGGTGAACTGCGGTATACACGCTTCGCCTATATATACAGGGTGATCCCCTCGCAGCAGGACATAAAGGTATTGGCGACAATAAACCCCTCGACCGCACCATGAAGCCACACAGAGTTGTCTCGGCCCGGTTAGGTCCCCGCTGGCACATGACAATGCGGACCTCTTTGTGGTGCGGTCAAGGGGATCATTGTCGCCAGTGTTCCTTTGTGTCCGGCTGCGAGAGGATCACCATGTATGTATTCGGCTACTCAAAGGTTGACGATCGGGACAAGTTGAAGAAAATTTTTTAATTTTGCGCCGCCTCCGATTAGGTTGAAATGTATTTAGTATACTACAGGGTGATCCTCTCGCTACGCTACCCGAAAGGAAGTGCCGCCACAATAGAATGAAGAAGTCGACACCCCATTTCTGTCATCGCTTACTTGACGGAGGTGACCCCTGCAGCGGAAACGGCTGTGTGTGAGAAAATGTGTTAAGAAAATATTCTGTTTTCCGCAGCGTTTAAATGGGACTCTTCTGCTTATTACACACATTTTCACGCACACAGCCGTCTACGCTGCAGGGGCCACCTCTGTCAAGTAAGCGATGACAAAAATGGGGTGTCGACTTCTTCATTCTATTGTGGTGGCACTTCCTTTGTGTTCACTAGCGAGAGGATCACCCTGTAGGTTTTATCTATTAATAGCTGATGGGTATTTGTATAAATGAAATAGAAATTATTTCATACTTTTTAGTGCATTTTGTTGTAAAAATGAAGTATAAGTTATTTTACACTTTGAAGTCGATTGTATTTTTTATTAAAAATTATTTTTTATAGAATTTAAATTATGTTTTCTATCCAGTACATACATTAACATCGCTACGGCATCATAAATTTACACGCGCCTATTTGTTATTACAACAGCAAATTTGTATATAACATGATTAAATAAGATCAAAACTGAAATTGTAAGAAATAATTGTGTGTAATGGCAAATATGCATACGATGCTGTAACGGTGTTAATGTGCGTACGTATTGGATGAAAAACATAATTTAAATTCTATAAAAATTACAACGTATAGTATAATGAATTATTAATAAATGCAGTGACTATAACACAGCTGTAATAGGTAGTCAAAAAGAAATAAACTACCATTAAAAACAAAAGGTTAGGGGGATCAAGGATTTCAACCCTGCACCTTTAGATTGCGAGTCATTTGTTTAACCACGGAGCTAACCATTTCCACGTGTGAGTTTGTTATACTTCACAATGTAAGAAGTAACTAACTTTAGTTGTTAATATCTTTTAAACAATTAGCCGTCTGCCCCCAAAATGGGGTACAGGCGTATTCAGCTCGACGAGCTCTATACGATGGCAGAGTTTCATTAATAAGTGAACGTAACATTTGCGTAGTTTCCCCCGTTAGTCATAAATGCAGTATGTATTAAAGTTATTTTTTTTGAAATTTCTTTCTTTTAATTACAAAATTACCTTCATACAAAAATGAACGAAGCTGTGAAACAATTAGTCTTACGTTTTGAGGACCTCATTAGATACAGAGCGAATGCGCCGCAGCACTCTACCTACATAGCCGTATTGCTTTTTTTTAAAGCAGTAGTGTCAGAGATCTTGTTTTGATATGAGCTCGCATATCAGATCTCTGGTGTAATTTTTTTCCATGTCTTGCACTAAATTCAAAGCGTGATACTTTACATTTTCTGTTTTTATACAACGTTAAACGTAGAATAAAGATATCTTACAAGCAGGACACGAAATAGTTGTTCATTATTACTTAGTCTGAAAAAAAAGATATTCGAAAGCATTAAAATTATAAAAGGTGATTAAGCGAAGAAAATGTATACTGTTCACGTAACACCGGGTAAATCTTCAGAGAAGCAAAATAGTTCGAAAAATGTTGATTCCGAGAGAGGAATGTATAAAAATCGGAGGAAAGAATCAATTCCTGTGAAAGTTTACAATTATCTGAAGACACAAATGCAAACAGAAGGAATTCCAAGTAAGTAGAAGTGAAATTTAGAAATTATGATATTTCTATTTGTTTGCTTATCATTTATTTCTTACTCAAATATATAATAATACATATATTAATCAAGGATAAAGGCAATGAACGAAACAAACATTTGGTATTGTACTTCAAACAAATGTTAAGTTACTTTTTAAAGCGATTTTTACCGCTATCGATCTTCTCTTCGTTCATTTCTTCGTCCTCCATTTACAAAAGTAACAGTACGTATTTTTACCTATATCAAATACATCATTTTTGAATGATTTTCGACGAGTTTGTATTAACAAAACTCAATATTAACAAAAGCACCAACGTTAAGAAAATGAAAATTTCATTTTCCTTTCGCGTTTATTACGATTTCTATTTCTTCATAATTAACAACAACATTTCATGTTCATTAACATTGAAAAAATAAATTTACATGATTATTATAACATAATGAACTATTTCTCCCATTAGATTCAATCCTTCTATTAAATATACAAATAATGTGTAATTATTTCCTTTTTTTCAATTCTATGTACCATCAATACAATAATACATATCAATTTTTCTTTTTATTGAGTTTGGCTCTTAGAAATATTGTCCACCTGATTGACCAGTGGTTCAGTATTTATCACTGAAAATAAACAGTCTGTAACTTCAACGTTTAAATCTTCGCATATATGCGCATCTTTTTCTGTTGTCGTTTCGTAATTTGCATAATTATGTGACCATACGTCAGTAATCGAATCCTCGTTTTCCTCAATTGAGTCCTTTAAGTCTGAATTACTGTTTGATGATGGTGTGTAAAGAACTCGCGAGTCTTCTACCACAGTCTCTTCGAATTTTGATTGTAAATTAGCCATGCGCATTCCGCACGAAGTATCGTTATAGAGTAACCAACATGGAGAAAAGGAATGTTGCCTATATTCTGCAACAAACTTCTCTTTTTGAGAACACGATATATTTGATGATACTGGTGTATGTGTGACAATAGGAGCTATGTAACAATATACACAAGATGTTTGTTCTAATTTTGAGAAATCTATACGTTTGGTATTAATAAAATTTAAGATATTCTCCAAAATTGAATCTGTTGAAATTTTAGACATTTTTTTGGGCCAAAAAGGGTGTAGTATGCCTATAAATGTTAAAAATATAATATGATATATATAAAAGATTATGTTTTTTTTACATAGTACAATAATTAAGTATAATAATTACATACCATTTGTTTGTGCCTTTTCTATTGTACCTGATGTATTTTTTTCATGATTGAATTTAGTTTGTGTGGAATTACAATTTTGTTCACATTGTTCTGAATGTCCAGATAGTGGGATACTTGCCTGATTATTTTGTGAATTTGAGTATTCATACGGTAGATCAGAATTGTAGTGGTTATTAGTAGAAAATGTTTGAGAAATAGTAGATGTGTATGTGTCTTGATCCATATTTGCATTTGTAAATGAATGTGTAGTTTGTAAATATTCTACATTAGTTTCTGTACTACCTTTGATTAAATTTTGTAAATAATATGTATTAGTACAATCAGATTGTACACTGGAAATGACCTGTGTGTCATAATACTGATTTTCTTCTGATGGGTTCAGACCCAATAAAGTTTGATTTGTATGGTAAGGATGTACGTTTTCTGTCACTCTATATTGGTGTGTTAAATTTCCATCACTTACAGGTTTATTTGCAGTGTCAGACTCCATATTATCATAATATATAGGTTGAAATACTTTTGATGTTTCAACATCTGATACACAACTGTTATCTGTTCCCTCCATGACATTAGTGATGGTCCAATTTTCATATTCTTGATGCATATCAATGTTTGTGGAAGGGTATTTATATTCATTGCCATTTACATTTGTTAAAACAGTGGAAATTTGTTGACCAATTTCCTCAACATTTTTCACAAATGTTGACTCATTTAAAAAGTATTCTCCCTTAGTGCCACTTAGAAGTCCATAACATTCTGTATTGCTTTCTAAATTTTCCTCATTGTCTTGATTATCTGATTCAGCAGTTAATGTATCAGAATTATCTAGTAAACTGTTAGACTGATATTGCTCCATTGACCAAAGCCGGTAGCTTCCAAGGACAGGACTAGCTATTTCTCCCAAATTTGCACCCACTGGTGCCTGCAACATTTTTTTTAATAGTATAGATCCTTGCTCATTGTTATTTGTATCTTCTAGTGTTTGATATTCTACATTATCATTTGGTTGATACACAAAAGAATCTGTATTGTTAACAGCAATTATATTAGATTTAATATAATTAGAGTCATTCAAAGGATCTTTAGATGTATCAGATGAAACAGGTACTGTTCTTAAGTCCACTATAGTTGAATTCTCTATTTGATTATTATTTGCATCATATGTTTGAAATTCTCTCTGTATTCTCTTTAACAAAAATTGTTTAAACTCTTCATAGTGTGGAATTCTATGATCATCATTATCTCTACTTGCAATTTCCTCTTCTGCTCCAACCTGAAGAAAAAATATTAAATGTTCAATTAGATCGAATAATCGATCTATGAAATCGTACGCGCTCATTACGCGATTGTCTAATTGATCAATTCTCTGAACAAATGCCGTATTTTATAATGCATAAGTTGCATTGTTATAAATCTAAGCGTTCGATGTGTGAAATCAGATGAAAAGCAATTTACCCATTGATAAGGTGGTTGCTGCTGAGGACAATAATAATCATCGGCCATAACGTAATCTGGACTGTTTAATGGTGTGGAGGTTAACCCCAATTTTCTGACTTTAATTTTTCTTACTTTCTTCTTACGAGTTTGCTTAAGATCTTGCAATAGTCGGCCAACTTCGTTTTCATTTCCACCTTTCGCGGCTTGCAACACTTTAACCAGTAATTTCTTCTACGATCAAAAATCATAATCGATCCTTCAAAAATCAGTTTACATACTAGTCGTCTTGCAATGAAAATTAACGAATAAGAATAAGTTCGACCATCTTTCAATTTAAATCATTAATAATAAATTAATTACCTTTATGTTACCTGGTACTCGGTATCTAAGAGCTAAGGCCTGCAATTCCTTATACGATAATCTTGAAATATCGTTTCCGTTCATTTTCAAACATCGAGACAATCAGTCGTAATCCTTCTGTTAGTTCTTACCTATTTCTGATATGGCCGATAGAAATATTCGTCTGCTAACTGAATTACGCGGTCCGTTTTAATTTGAAAAATTCGTTTTATAATTAACCGAAAACAAATGACACAAAAGGTGTCTCTGTTCTTCATTTGAATTTGCTTCGATCCAAAGGAACTCGTTCCTCAATTTTAACAACAATTTACGATGATTTTTCTTATACTTATATTAACTCGACAAAGGATTTTTTCATCGGCTGTATAACAAACCAATTATTATTGAAATACCAACAAAAATATAAAGGATAAAATATTGTGATTACACTAACGAATTGTATGTTCCTTAGTTATTGTTGCATACACAATGGTCCTTTTTCAATAAAACGAGTCATAAATGCTATTATCCTGCCATCTGGAAATAACGATCTTAGAAATCGATAATACCGATCGATAATACTTCTATTATCAGCATAAATAACATTATGATAAGAGTAACTTTGTACGGTAAGTTACTATTCTTCTTAATCTGATTGATCTGATAATTACCATTAATGAAACATTTTCTTGTTCGCCGATAATTTCGAGCATGCTTTACGTACATGCTTTTGGCTCCGATTCAAGCCGGACGGGATTCTTGTTTACTTTATAATGTTTGCACAATACTGAAGCATTATGTGCTTCCCTTGTCTTTGAACATGATTTATACTCGAGAAGAAAATCATCAATGTAATATTTCAGCTTAAAACAGAAAACAGAAGCGAAAGCACGTGAATCGATAACAACGTTCCTGTCTTCTTCTTCGATAAAAAAATCTGTGTTGATATAAGCATGATTTATTCAATTAGAGTTGGGAAATATCGATGAGAATAGAAATGCGATGAATGTCTGACCGCAAACGACTTTACTACTGAGCGCGCCACGTCTCCTTTTGCGTTGACTATACTACAGGTTGATTCTTTCGCTAGTTTACTCAAAGGAAATGCCACCACACCAGTATGAATGGACCCAAGTCCTTTTCTGTCATCGATATCTCAACGGGGGTGCATACTATGTCCGTGAAAAGGTTTTGGGCTTGGGTCCATTCATACTGGTATGGCGGCATTTTCTTTGAGTAAACTGGCGCGAGAATCACCCTGTAGTATAGTCAACGCATAGGGAGACGTGGCGCGCTCAGTAGTAAAGTCGTTTGCGGTCAGACATCCATCGCATTTCTATTCTCATCGATATTTCCCAACTCTAATTGAATAAATCATGCTTATATCAACACAGATTTTTTATCGAAGAAGAAGACAGGAAGGTTGTTATCGATTCACGTGCTTTCGTTTCCTTTTATCTTCTTATCGATGAGTCGTCGAGTGTTCTCGTTTATGAAAGAAGGGAACCCTGGGTAAATATACGGTGAACAATGACCCCCTAAAGAAGGAAATCGAACGAAATGGAGTGTGCGGTGACATAAACGGCCAATAACGAGCCGAACGTTTATTCAAATAATATTCATCTGTCAATCTGACGGTGCTTGTAACATAGCCCGTTTAATAAAAGTTCGAGCTTGCGCGGAAGTAAGCAAACCCCGTGCTTTTGCGTGGCAGTTGTTTGATCAGTGCATCAGCGTGAGGGCAGCGCGCACATCGTTACCAGAGTCACTTGGGTTACCTTAGTCCATCGTGGAACATCGATCGCGGTGAATTAAAGGTGTATTTCTGAGATTTCCAAGTTTCAAACGACGACCTAAGAGAAAACATCTGGATCAAAGGTCCAGATACGATATCGAAAGAAAAAAGCAGAGGGAAGAAGAGAATCAAAGCGGTTCGATCAGGTTCGATATCCGGTTAGAAGGGACCGGAAGAGATCGTTCGAACGTTAAACGACGAGTGTGTTGGATCGCTAAAGGCGATCGTTCGATCGTGAATCGCCGATGAAGGCACGTAAGAACCGCGAGAAAAGTAAGTCCATCAATCATACAGGCCGACTGTAATGCCGCTCGAGTTTCCTCTCCTGTAATCGGCGAAGGCCAGTCGATACGTCGTGGAAAAAGAGATCCTCCTTGAGACGAAAGGATCGGATACAACCCAGGCCCGAACTTATTAGGACCTCCCTCTTAATCGCGAAACAGTTCGTTCCGGTGTGTCAGTGCTAACAGCTGCCAAAGATGCAACGGCAAGGTGCGAGACTCGTTCGACAGAGACAGACGACTAAACTGTCCTCCTCCTACTTCTTCTTTTTCTTCTTCTTCTTCTTCGTTATCTTGTTTGACCCGTTGACGATTCCTAACGTTATGAGAGATAGCATCCTGGGTACTTGACCATGGTATCATAGTTGATCCGCTTAGGGAACCGACCGACGCGATCATCCTCTTTGCAATTGTGTAACATCTCACTCTTTCGACTCGTGTATATGTCTGTTTGCGTGCGTGCGTGCGTGTGCGTGCGTATGTACATCTAGCGCGTTTTCCAATTGACAAATGCTCCGAAAACGGAATGGCAAAGTGGGGTGGAAAACGGGGTAGGAGCTCTCCCGTTGCTATGGTGACCCCGGATGCCCGGGACCCGGGACCAGAGCTGCTATTGGAATTACAGTGCAGAGTATACATACGTCTATAATATGTACATATACGAGGCAATTCGAAGCTTCCAACCGTGTTTCAGATGATTTCTACTTCGGTAACTGTACGCTACAGGCAATCTTTTTCTCTTTTTCTCCTCATCAAAGTCTATCTAACTGTTTAGTTAGAGACCTCTTAGAGACGTAGACGCATCGAATGTAAGAGCTTTCTTAACCGTATCGATTCTTCGACCCAGCTTCGTAGCTCTTTCAATCTTTCATCGTCTCCGTAGCGGGGCTAATCTAATTCTTTACATAGTTCCGTGATCGTAATTTTAGCAGCGATCAATGGGAAGCTTCTACCTTAGCCGCGTAAACAAGCCTGATAGAGTTTCGCTTTCAAACCTGTCGGCGATTCTTCTCAGACGCATTAGAAATCATTAGAGAACACGCGTGGGTTAGCATGCAAACGCGAGATCGAACCGTGATTGTTTTTAAAACAGTGTATGTACACGGTGGAACGATGCCTACGAACCCCCCACGGAGCATCGTAGATGTGAAATCGAAAATTTGTCGAAAAAGAAACATCGGTTCGTCTGGTCGTTTCCAAGTATCGAAAGGAAGCATGCGTAAAGAGAAATAATTGCATGATATTAGGTATCCCAGAAACGCGCGAATTTATTTGCACCGTGATTTAATTGATCATTCATCGAACTTCAAAAATTCCCAGAATCGTTCGAGGAATTGACGAATGTCTGACCAACGCGATTGTCATCGAAGTAGATGCGATACTTTCATAAATATACATATAGTAGTGTGTGTAGCAGTGTACAGTCTCTCGTAGAATATGTTGGTAGATTTTTGGCTCGTTAGGTAACTTCTTTGGCTAGGTGCATATTTGAGTAGAGATAGCAACTACTCTCCTAGAGCTCGATACCCTTCTGTACATCGCGAGTGTTGGGTCACGCTTTCGTTCGGTCTTGAATCTTATTTCGACCACGGTTATTATATTAATAGAGCGTTAATGAGTATCGATTTTACACCTTCTGTACCGTTTCAATGTGAAACGCGTGTCTGGAAGAGTTGTGGACACTTTCAATTTGCTCGTTAACGAAAGCGACCGCTCGATGCTGCTAGTTTAGCGGATTGATCCGATAGATTTCACTTTCCAACTCTGAAGTATATCTTGATTAGACCTTCACTGTTTTTTCTCTCTTCTTACTACACGCATCTTTCCATCGTCGCGTAATATTGGTACTTTTTCAAATTAGATAAAAGGATAAAAAAGATGGAATTATGCACGAGCTATTATTTCTGCCTCTTCCCAAGTAAAACATGATCCTCGTACAAATCTTTATCGAGATTCGTTCGAATTTATCTGCGTTCTGGTTCTAACTTCAAGACAGCAGTTTTTCCAGTACAAAATTATTGAGCGATATTCGCGATCATGCATTGGTCGTATACGTAAATTGCCCGACAAAAAAATGGTGACACTTTGACGGTCGAGTAAGGCTAAGAAGGAATATAATCCGTTGAAACGTACGACCGTCAGAGGGTTGATACTACATCAGACTGTTTTACCTGGGCAACGTTTCCTACTATTCTCTCGCTCACGAGTTCTCCGCCTGCAAGTCTATGCACCTGTACATCTCCAGGTAATTGTCCGTCTTGGCAATGCGCGCACTGTCTCCCGTAGAACCCCGTATTCGCTGAAGGGAGGTGTAGCCAGGTTCCCTGGAAGATCCAGCTGTGCTGTGTTTCTCGGGCACCCGGCGTATCTTCTCCCGGGTAATGCGCCTCTGTTCAAGCTCGTTGCACCCTGTCTCGTAAGTAGATATCGCCGTCGCCGTCTCCTCTCCTGCCTGCTAGTGAAAGAGAGGAGAAACGGCGTATTTCCCTTTAGCTTGACAATGTAGAAGAACAAGCATATTTGAGAGAAAACAAAGGTGAGAGGGGAGTATCTCGAACGCGTGGTACAGTCTTTAGGAGCGAACCGCCTGTTGGCAAACTTACAGAGGGCGAACTTGAAGAACTCGGGGGCGTTTTAGGGGGTTCGACCGCCGGTGCCCTTGCCCTCGGTGGTCGGCACAAGCCCGAGGAGCTTGCCACCTTGGCGGCCAACACCAGATTCTCCAGGAAGGAGATACAGCTGATTTATCGTGGTTTCAAGCAGGAATGCCCGACCGGTCTCGTCGACGAGGAAGCCTTCAAACAGATATTTTCACAGTTCTTTCCTCAGGGAGGTGAGTCATAATAATCCTTAGTGTTCTCTTATTATTTAACATTGAAACTTTTAGATGCCAGCCAGTACGCTCACTACGTCTTTAACACCATGAAGAGGAAACCGTCTGGAAAGATAAGCTTCGAGGTAAGCTCGTACTTATAAGTCGCGTTTAAGTCTGTCAATGTACCAATACTGTTCTACAGCGATATTGTCTTTACCTTTGTACAGGAATTTCTTACCATCTTGTCGAAAGTATCGAGGGGTTCGGTGGAGGAGAAACTTCAGTGGGTCTTTGGCCTTTACGATCTAGACGGGGATGGATTGATCAGTAAAGAAGAGATGCTGGACGTGGTTGGTTCCATATATGAAATGTTGGGCCGTTACACCCAGCCACAAATAGTTGAGCCGCATGTGGCTGCCAGAGAACACGTCGATCGCATTTTTCACGTGAGGGAAAATAATCAATTTCACCGCTGTTGATGTTGCTCCACGTATTTCAGTATATGCTTCGTTAAATATATAACTTTTTCTTTTCTCCGTAGTTAATGGACGCAAACAAGGACGGCGTGGTGACAATCGAGGAATTAGTACAATGGTGTTCAAAGGACGAGCAACTATTGCGGAGTCTCGACACCCTTGACACTGTCTTATGAGATCTTTACTATTATTTTATAATCCTTCTTCGAACCCCAAAAGCCACAGATTCCCTGAATATTTTAATATGGCGCTCAATTGAGTTCTGCGTGTAATTTCTAGAAAAATTATCCATCTTTGAGACGGAATTGAATTTTGAAGGAAAATTACGATTCGAACTCGTCGAACGCTGATTGTAAATATTATCCCACCTACCTAGTCTTTCAAGCGTGCTATTCAAGGCACGATAAAACCAACAGTATTTCAAATTGTTACTCCTCGTCGCGTTGAATCCTCTTGTAAATCTTGTGCGTCCATCAGATCACTCTGACTTGTTATCTGTAATGGACAAGGTATTTCAGTAACGAGTACATTGTTTCAAAACGATCCAACTGTAGCCTGCCACTGATATTTCAGTGGTATAAGATTAATAATTTAGAGTGATCTGTCGAATTGCATGTATCACAGAATTCTTAGGTAGGATCGATGCGATGAGGACAATTTGGTCCCTCGATTTATTAAAACTTTAAACTTATTTCCATGCTATAATAACGACGAATTTTAAGAGTTTTAAAAATCGTTAAGATCGATCCTCGACCTCTATATTTCTTTTAACTTGTACCTCTTTGCCGTTCGCGTCCTTAACGCGTTGACTATCCTAACAAAATTAAACAAATCTTCATTGTGACAGTCAGCATGTTAATACGCGTGGTTGAAAGTTCAGTACGATACTTTAAAAAGAAAAGAGCTTTTACTATCATCCATCGTTCGGGTCTCTTACATGTGTAAGTAATATAGTAAGATGCGTTGATTAAAAACATTTGTCCGATATCTTTGCACATTGGATCTATAGTTTGCAAATGATACAATGGCCAAGACAAGGATCAAGTAGAATTATTTTCTTGTTCCAAAATCATTAGGTGTTAGGCGTGTGCAAATAATATTTGACAATCTTTTCAAACTTGCCTTCTATTTAAACGAGTACTGAAAAGTTTCCTCGTCATTGCTACGTTCTATTCGATACACTCGGCTACTTGTTACATAAGCAAAAAAGTTTCAAGAGCATAGTTTAATGCTGCGATATACAGTTGCTTGAACAAGTCATACAAAGTTTTAAGGTATTCACATATACTCGTTCAATGGATTATAAGTTTAATGATACTTGCGATGACCCATGCACGATGGAAAATGTAGCTAGTAACCCAGTAATATATTGTAGTACCCTCGACCAACTAAGAGAAACGTGATCCTGCGAAATCAACGCCTCTTGTGATTCTCTTGTACCTTACTATTTATTACAAGTATCGCGTAAAGAATTATTGTTATTAAGACGATTAATTGTCCTCTATCACGGTATACGTGAATGCGATCCTTTTATGCGTACAAATATCATCGAATTTGTTGAATTTCTCAAGTTTATTAAAAACCTCTATTGTAATTGAATATCAAATGAGAACGTAACTATCTACGTAAGCGTGCATATGAAAAGATCGGTTCGTTTGTTTATACATTCAATTGTTCTAGCAATGTGCAATTTTAAAGGCATTCAGTACAAATAAATGAATGCTTCTGATATGTGACGACTTCACTTGGGGAATTAATTCTTTTTATTAATTACTAATCTTAAAAAGAGATATCGACAACCTATGTTTAGACTATACTGAAAATAAAAAAGTTCTTTTGTTCTTTTTTATATTTTATTTATACAATAATTTGTAAGGTTCTTAGATCACTTCTTCTGCGCTGCAGCTGCTTCGTCTTCGCGCTGGTACGATTGCAATAACTCTTGTTTTTTCATAGCAATACGCTCTGCTCTACGTTTACGCGCCTCTCTGACTTTAGTACGACGCGCTTCCGCTTGATCTGAAAGCATCTCTGCCCTAGCTTTTTCAGCCTTCTTTTTGTGAATGAATTCCATTAAAACTCTCTTATTCTTGAACACGTTTCCCTTAGCCTTCATGTACAAAGAATGGTACAGATGTCTATCAATCTTCTTTGTTTCGCGGTATTTTTTCAACAATCGACGAAGAACTCTCATTCTTTGAATCCAAAGATCCTACAAATGTATTATTTGAATTAAATACTTGATTATTACATTTAAACATAGTATTACAACGTAATAAATAAACAATTTTCATTTACCTTTCTTGGTGTACGAGCATTTGCTGTACCTTTTCTTTTACCAAAACCACAATGACGTCCTTTACGTCTGGCTTCGGTATTTTTGCGTACACGCGCTCTAGAGTGAACAGCTACAGGTTTCTTAATGATGAGACCATCCTTAATCAACTTCCTAATACTTTGCCCTTAAAAAGTAAATTGAAGTTATACACAAAACATAAAAGAATAAACATAACGAAATTCATGTTTTAAATAGAAAAAAGTAGACATACGGGAATTTGTATTTGCAATTTCATTAATTTCATTAGGATCCAACCACACCTTCTTTTTACCACATCGCATAACAGAGGCAGCCAGCCTCTTTTGCAGCTTTAAAGAACTGAAACAAATAAAGTAAGGTTATGTTTTGAAAATGATTTATTACGAATCTCATTTTTTATAAACACCAACAGTTATCTTCCTATGATTTATGCAACATATTCTTTGAAATTCAAACTATAGGCTTTGGAATACCATGTAACGGATAAAAAAAACACCAAATCTAAACAACTAACCATGTGGTCATCCGTCAACAAATTATCAAACATAACGAACGAAAACTATAATATTTTCAATTGAATAATATATTCTTCGGCAAAATATGAATCTTATCATTAATACTGTAAATAATGCAACATAAATTTCAATTAATATGTTTAAATATAAGAAAAAATCTTGGAAGAAAATGTACCTCATGGTGGAGCCTACGAGTCCTCTCTGGTAAAGAACATCAAAATGGCGACAGCGCTATTTCCTACTTATCGACATTAACCGGAAGTAGTGCAGGAGAGGTTATACTGCAGTTCACGCAGCTCACTAGGTTTAGGGAGATTTTTAATAACGTGTGTGATTCCACTCTACAGCTTGCTTCTTACTTTGCGATCATATAAATGGTGGGCAGAAATATATGACGTGCGATAACTGATAACCAATGATGATATGGTAAAGATACAAGATACAATTGAAATGAAATTGAAAGAATTTTGAATATAGAAAATAATTTTCTTGTAATGAAGAGAAGATGAATCAAGAATGAAAAATTGTAAAATTTTCTATCCACAGGGTATATATTCTCCGGTTTCCGACCGGTGTCGAGCCACAGTACAGCCGACTCTAGTACTAGCCCTGCTGAAGTAAAAATGGCAACACCGCTCACGTGACAATCAGGAGTCCTATTTTCAAAAACAGAGTGCTGTGCTCGGAATTGTAATTAACGTCTTTTTTAATTAAAAGCTGTAGTAATATACACTATTTTGTATTAATTATGTATAAACAATACATAAACGTTGCAACTATGGCAAGTAGAAGTGATGTGGTAGTATAAAATTGTTACAAATGTGATATATATTTTGTGTACTCTCGAAGTAGTTTGGTGTTGTGAAGCATGATATTTGAAATATTTACAGTGGTTTTAAGAAAATGTAGGTATGAAGCAAAATAAAACCATTTTTGGATCAAATTGAAACATTTAAGAATTGATAAACGTGTATATAAGTTAATAAAAATCTTGAAACAAGCGAAATTATTGGAACGAAACCAAAGAGGTTATGTGAAGTCCAGAGAGTAGCCGAGAGTCTGACGACGTTGATTGGCTGGGAGTCTGGGAGTCCGGGAGGCAGATAGAGTAGGGTAGGTGTTGATATATTCAGACCTGACTCCCGCGGTGTTGCCATTTTTACTTCAGCACGGCTAGTACTAGAGTCGGCTGTGCTGTCGTCACACTATGATTGATGTTGTACACTGATGTACATTGAGTTCCATCGAAGTTGTCGCAGTGAAGTTGGCCACGCATTCACTCACCGACGCGGCGTGAATGCGTTAGTAATTTGTAGCCAACTTCACTGCGACAAGTTCAATGTAACTCAGTGTACATACACATACATAAGGTATAGAATACGTATACTTTGTTCACGGTATAGAATGTACATATGTGTAATGTGTCATCGGATCATTCAGATCGGTGATGGTAATCCTGGAAATGATAGGAGGAAATGGTAGTGGATCAGGATGATTTAAAACTTTTGACGAAGATATTTATATTACGTAGCAAAATTTGTTGTAGATTTTTTTACTCATGTGTATTATCACATATGTTTATCATAAACCGTGACGTATAGCATATGTGAGTATATATATTGTAACATATGCGCTTGAGATAGTAACTCCACTGTGGCAAACGTGTAATATTGTACGAGGAAGACAGTGTGCAATTATTCGTCGAGAAAGCAACAGGAGAAAATGACTGTGAACAAAGATCTACAGCGAGAACGAAGCCAGTGTACATTCAATCCTATAGAGCTAACTCATCTTTTGGATGGCAGTCCAGAGAAAACGAAACAACGTCGTGAACGGGGTATACAGTTATTTAAACTTTTTTATATATTTTCATAAAAAGATCTTTGCTATATTCAAATTGTACTTTCTGTCAATATTGTGTTTGAAAGATTAATTTAAATGTTTTGGGTAATCATAAAAAGAGGTTTAGACATTTTTAATTTGGAAAACTATTTGTACAGCTTTGTAAATTTCTCTTAGAAGAATGAAGTAGGTAGAAAAATATGAGAGCACTGGTTATAGTTTTTATCGTGAATTTTACATACTTGCATTGAACTTGTGAATAATGTAATACCGATGTATATGAATAATATGATATCGATGTTTTGTTCGTTATAACTAGATAACTTATCGGAGTTTTCTTAAATTATACAGGATTAAAAAGCATTTTTTTTAAATGTCACATTTGGCATTGACAGTAACATTAGCGTATTATTCGAAATAAATATTCTGATTGGGTTAAGTTAATAATAAGTTAACAATATATTTTTTGGATCGAGAAGAAAAAACGTATGTAACGTATTTTTATTTATAATTAATGTAATTTTGACGGTATCTATAATGAGAATGCTAACTAGTAGCGTTATTTTTGTAATTGTTTTGTAATTAAATTTCTATGGGAAACAACTTGTCACATTATACAGTGAGTCACAAAATTATTCGCCCACCGTTTAAAACAGGATACCTCATTTAAAATTGGACCAAATGACACGAGGATTTTAGAGAAGCTATAAAAATTAATTTACTAAGATATGTACTTTTGCTCTTTTAAAAAATTACAGTTTGTCGAAATCGTGAAAAAAAATAGTAAAGGATAATTTTTCAACTTTTTTATGTGAGTCTATAATGAAAATTTAAAATATGTCTTTCATAGATTCAAATAAGTTATGTGTATGCTGAAAATTTCATCGAGATCGCTCAATGCACTTAGAAGTTACAAGTAATTAAAATGTTCGAAAATCGCGATTTTTTATCTAAGAACATGTTATGTTTATTGTAGACTCACATAAAAAAGTTGAAAAATTAGCCTTCACTATTTTTTTTCACGATTTCGATTTCGATAAACTGTAATTTTTTAAAACAGCAAAAGTAAGTACATATCTTAATAAATTAATTTTTATTGCTTCTCCAAAACCCTCAAGTCATTTGATCCAATTTTAAGGTATCCTGTTTTAAACGGTGGTCGAATAATTTTGTGACCCACTGTATATCTAAATGGCAATTATCGTGCGTTGATATTGTATTCAGTTTTATTAGTTTTTAATTAGTTTGTTGATCAATGTATTACTTTTATTGCTTCCATATCATTTAAATAAATGTTTAAGTTATGAAAAATTGAGATGTGTATATAAAAAAATATTTTCTCTCGATCGTATCATGATGATTTCGCAATTTAAATGTACATATGTTTAATCGAGTTGGGGATGATTGCCACGGTAACAAAGACCAAATTATAAATTTTATTCTTATTATTAGTTATAAATATGTATGAATATAAAATATGCTACCTAGGTAGTTTATACGAAACATTAAAGAATATAGCATTACGTCAGGTACAATCTTGTATCTTATCATTTGCAAGCACACAGTTTAGTAAATAGTATTTCCTTGATATGATATGTACATAGTCCATACTGACTTTGCAATAATCTTGATTGTTTTTGGACATTGTCATAAGGATACACATAGGATGTGAAAAATGTAAATAAATGTATGTTTACATCAATTATGAGAAAATAAATTATTAATTAACATTAGTATAAATTACTATAATACTGGAATTATTTTTAGTTTCTTTCGAATGTTAATTAAAAACTATACAGTTGTTTTGATTAATAAGTAAAAATTACAGAAATTTTGTTGCAAATAACATACCACTAATATTTCATTACATTTCAGAACAATTCTTCTTAAATGATCCAGAACTAATTGATACAATACCAGTAAGGTATAAAAGTCATAAAGAAGTTTATGAAGATGCAGTACGAAAAGCCTGTAGGATCATACAGAAAGTCAGAGAGTTACAAGAAATGGGAAAAGGTGATATGGAATTGTTCACGTAAGTGTTTTAAGAATATACAAAAGTTCTGTCAGGATAGTGGTCTCAATTAAAACTTGTTGCAGACATATTATGGGTGCAATGTTTGGATCTGGTGTATTGAAAGATGGAAATCCATTGTTGGTACATTATGCCATGTTTCTCCCAGCTATTATGGGACAAGGTACCACAAAACAGCAATCATATTGGGTATCTAGATCTTGGGGTTGCAATATTATTGGAACATATGCTCAAGTAAAGTATAAGAATGTCTAACAATAAGTAATTAAATAGTCATAAAAAATTGAAGTATATATTGATATTTTGTTTTTTAGACTGAGCTGGGTCATGGAACGTTTATTCGGGGTTTAGAAACCACAGCGACATACGATCCACAAACGAAAGAATTTATTTTAAATAGTCCTACTTTAACGTCCTATAAATGGTGGCCAGGTGGATGTAAGTATGACTCTACCGTCGTTGAAGTGAAAAAAAGAAACGCTGTTGATTTAATAAAATTCCCGTTCCTATTCATTTTTAGTGGGTCATACTGCAAATTATGCAGTGGTTCTTGCACAGTTATACACAAAAGGGCAATGTAGAGGAATTCATCCTTTTATTGTTCAGTTAAGGGATGAGAATACACACGAACCTTTACCAGGTGTCTGAATAATTTTTGATGATTTATACACAAGTAGAACAAGATTGTTAATTGTTGACAATTTTTAGGTATCAAGATTGGAGAAATTGGTTCCAAATTAGGAATGAATGGAACTAACAACGGCTTTCTCGGATTCGAGAGCGTTAGGATACCGCGGGAACACATGTTGATGAAAAATTCTCAGGTAAAAGAGAAAGTATATTTACTTTCATAACAATACCTTCTTGCGCAAAAAAAAAAAAGAGAAACAGTTCTATTCCTTATTAATGAAACCGAAATTCCATATAAATTACATAAATCATGTATAATACAATATTATGAACGATAACAATTTTCATTATTTTTATATTTATTTGTTCTTTGTTAAATCGTAATCCTGCAGCAGTGAGCGTGAAAGGTAAACTTCATGTCAATAGAACTGTTAATAAATCGTATTTGTTATTCGAAGTAGAGCAACAAATTTTTATCTTTTATAGGTACTAGAGGATGGAACATACGTGAAAGCGTTAAACGATAAATTAACCTATGGTACAATGGTGTTTGTTCGAGTAATGTTAGTGCATGATATTGTAAATTATTTATTGAAAGCTGTTACAATTACAACTAGATACAGCGCGGTAAGGCGTCAGGGACAAATAAATTCAGAGTAAGTAAAATAAAAGAATCTTGAATAAAAATAAAAATCTTACAATATTTACATTTGTTTCTCAGAAAGCCTGAAGTACAAATTCTTGATTACGTAACGCAACAGCACAAAATTTTCCCAAATCTGGCCGCGTGTTTTGCGTTTAGAATGACAGCAGATTGGATTTGGAACATGTATAATACTGTTACTGCCGAATTGGATCAGGGTGATTTAGACAAATTACCTGAGGTATTGTATCACCTCCTCTTTCCTCGCTATTAATCTTTATTGTCGTGTGATTTTTAAATGTTTTTTCTTTTGTAGTTGCATGCTTTATCATGTTGCTTAAAAGCAGTTGCATCCGCAGATGCAGCTAACGGAGTAGAACAACTACGGTTGGCATGTGGCGGACACGGATATATGGATGCTAGTAGTTTCCCGGCTATTTACGGCTTGTTAACTGCCATTTGTACCTACGAAGGAGAGAATACTGTTCTACTATTACAAACAGCTAGATATTTAGTGAAAACTTGGAAACAAGCTGTAAGTGGTCAGCCGCTACCATCAACCGTACAGTATCTTACAGTTGTTGCAAAAGGAATTAAGCAACGTCCTTGGAAGAATACCTTGGGTTGTATAATCGAGGCTCATCAAGCAGTAGCCGCAGGGTAATACTTAAGTGTTTAATATTCATACATGAAGCAAGTACAAAACATCAGGTGTATAAATATTTATCATTTACTTATAGTAAGATCCGCTTGGCGACAGAAAATATGGATTCTAGAATCCAGAAGGGAATATCTTCAGAAGATGCATGGAATCAAACCAGCATCGAATTAGCTCAGTGTGCTGATGCTCATTGTCGAGTTTTTATTGTGCAGCAATTTGTCGAAGCTGTATCGCAAATCACCTCAGTATCCAAACAGTTACGTCAAGTATTGTCTCAACTCTGCGAGTTGTACGCCATATACAGTGTCCTGCAAAGACGGGGTGATTTTCTTCAAGTGAGTTACAAGCATTTATTGTGTTGTTTCACGTTTCAAATGATGGTGGTAATACTATGAAATATTTATTTTGCAGTTTTCTTTCTTGAAAAATGAGAACATTCCGTCGCTTCAATCGCGCCTGGAAGAATTATTAGCAGCAATCCGTCCAAATGCCGTAGGTATCGTTGATGGTTTTGATATTCGCGATGAAATTCTTGGCTCAGCTTTAGGAGTCTACGATGGTAACGTTTATACGCATTTATTCGCGGAAGCTATGAAGAGTCCTTTGAATCAAACAAGCGTAAACGAATCTTTTGAAAAATATCTAAAACCATTTCTTAAGAGTAATTTATAGTGCAATTCTTTTCTATTTACTTTTTGATCTTAAAAAAGATGCAAGTACCACGTGATTAGGATGTAATCCCACTCGAACGTGATAAACAAACTGCTTGAACTTTGTCGTTAGTATATTTTGCTGTTATCGATTGATAAATATATATTATCGTAATTACGATGCCAACAGTTCTTCCTGAAAATCTTTTTTATTTAATATATTTTTAAGTAGGTAAACATTCATCTGTTATATTGTTTGTTGGTATTAATAGAAAGAATTCACTTCGTTATAAACGAAGTTCGGTTTTTTGAATAATAGAACAAGTTTTTAGATGAATATTGAACAGTTAATAAGATGCCGTAATATTATTATGTTAAAGAGGCAATAATGAAAATAGTTTATACAAAAGGAATGTTAAAAAAATAATGATATTTTTCTACAATCTTTATAGAATATCATTGTAAATATTTTAAAACAATGAAATATTATCGTAACTGGTGCAAATGATATCTGATAGGGGTGTTTAAGAAAGATTTTTAGGAATGTTTCATCATTCCATACGAACAGTTATTTTAAATACGTTATAAAGAAATATATTTTCTATGTACTTTTGCTATGAATAAAGTGATTACAGAAACATATAATGTTTGTTAATCTGTTTCTCGATTGCATAAAAAAAAATTAGCATGTCAGATCAATTTCTTTCATACCGTAGTGTTTATTTACATAGTTGAATTATTAATAACTTTATTCAATAATTATATCGGTAGTAGAAACTTCCGCGATATGAAATGATACAGTTCAATTAGAATACAAAATTTAAATTTTCAAAGTTCACTCTACATTATAAAGTATAATAGTTTTGAATTTCAATCAGTTTTTTATACACAGGCTGCAAAAGAACAAAAGTAATTATTTAAAATGGGTCATTGGGCGGATAATTATTCTTTTTTCATATAAGTACATATACATGTATATATTTATATGTATGCGCCTAATGATTTTGTTTGTATATACATATATACGTAACATATATACGATAATTCGGAGGGGAAAGATAGGTAGACAACTAATTACACTTAAAAAATAACATTGTTAATTATCGTTATCATTAAATATTAATTGTATTCACTTTTAAAATTATTATTCATTCGTCCACCTGGTCTAATAGGTTTTCGTCTAGCGTTAGACAGACGTCGCATTGCTATAGTACTCTTACGGAATTACATCCTCTTATAAAATATGATTTTATTACAATTAGTATTTGTTTTTGTTTTTTTTTTTTTTCATTTATTTATTTATTTTGTGTCGCATAGAACGTAGACAGCGCATTTCGAGTATTAAATGGGCCACGTGGAGATGCAGCGTACACTAATCATTTCTTCTTTTCTTCACCTTGTTCTGTAATCTTATATTCTCGGCAACTGATGTATTTTATTGTTGCTGTAACAACAGAAGTGCAGTTGAGGTAATTAACAGAAACGATAGTTAATTTTCTTTATCCTATAATGAAAAAAATCTCGCGTCTGTCCGCATCGCCACGCGGAAAATTAATTACTATCTAACAAACAATCTTTTGTCTATGTTGTATACGATTACTATTACAATAAGGATTACGATTCAATTTCCAGAGGTTCCTCCTTTGCTTTTATCCACACAAAGAGAGGAGCTTTTGAAAGAGTAGGGGTAAATAAAAAGAAAAAAAGAAAAAAGAAAAAAACAATTGATTCTTGAAGATAGAATAACATAAAGGGTAAAGTGTCTCGTTTTCTTTTTTAGTTAAAGGCAAAGCATAAAATTGATGTATTTTACGATACTTCAACTGTTTATATAACTCCGATCATTTGCTAGATAATATCTACTTATGAGTTTACTCTGCAAAAAATCTGTACATGGTGATCAGTTGTTTAATTATTTTCAACTTCAAGTTGATTCATCAGTATGCTTATTTCAGAGCATTATCATTCTCTCGATAATGTCTCTACTTGCTTAGACACTTTAAAAACAAACTTCTTACAACATCTGCGAAGCTAAAATCGATAAGATTGATTCAGAAGCTGCAGGTGACGTTATCAAAATGTGTTAATTGATAATAATTTGTCCATCTTTCAGAATTCGTGACACCCAAACACGCTTTGCCAGTAACGTTAAAACTATCGTTTCGAAAAAGAAAAGAAAAAAAATATAGAACGAACAAAGTGGAATGACGATAGTTTTCATACACAATTGATGTTTCTTATGTATGTAATTAGTATATGGCAGTTTTCGCATGATATATTTTAGTTTACCCCAACGCATATGAATGGCGTTTCTGTTCCTCCAACCCAGGTAGAACCAGCTACGTCCATCTTGAAGAATAAACAGAATATTTTTTGGTCGATTCGGGCGATAATAAATGCAACGATTCGTGTACGTAAAATTCATATTATTATTGCACAGGATATAATAATGACGTAACGTTATATATAAGATATTATAAACGTATAACATCGTATATATAAAATTATTTACGAAGAATTGAAACTGCTTTTTTTCAATATTCACATTTATTCGTCAGATAAACGTGGTACGTTAATCGTTAATATCGTGGTCTAAAAGATAATAAAAGACAGCGCTAGAACCTACACGACCTTGCAACGCGTCAAAGGAAAGGGTTGCACTGAAACAATTTTAGACGAAATGAATTAAAAAACAAACCTACGGACGCTATTATTTCAATAACTATACGACGATATCGATTAGTTATTTATTTCGTATTATCTTTCACTTATAAAAACAATTCCCATCTCTCAATCGATGACACAATTAAACATCTCCCAATTGATGGTTCCGTTTAAAGTATTACATAAAAATGTCACATTTTTAATTTAAAATACAACAAGTAAAATGTTTGAAACCGCATTCTACCTGGGAAGAGGTAAACGAGAAATTATGTTGAAAATATCTCAAAATAATTCAGGTGTCGTAACGAGTGATCCACAGGATCGTTCGAAGAATAACAGAGAAAGGGAAGAAAAAAAAAATAAAAAAAATAAAATAAAATGAAAAACCCCGAAAAGAGAGGGTTGTAGGGAGAAAGGGGAATCGTTTGGTCCTACGTGAAAAGTCAATAAATTATTACAACGTATATCGCGATATTGATCAACCGCAAGATAAATATCGCGGATGAAAAATTCTGGAACAAATAGATATTACACGTGTGAAACTGTTTCGCGTATTCCTTTTTTTATCTCTTGTATTTCGCTTTTCTCCTTTTTTTCTTTTAGTATGGCATATGCGTGTCTCTCAGCCAGAGACGAATATGTACGTATATAAACTTGTGTACGCACGTGTTTCTTTCAGAAATCGGAAAGAGAAATGTTCCTCCTGCGTACACGCGGGAAATTTAAATGTCTTTCTTGTCTCATGGCAAATAGAATCTCTTTCGACCAGCAGAAGAAGCCTTTCTCCTTAAGATATAATAAGATGTTTCTTAATTTACCGGTGGAAGAAGGGAGTGACATTAAGAATGCGTTGTGCTTCACGGTTTTTCTTGTGGTATTGATAAATCTTTTCTTCGTAGATGTCGCGGGTAAACCGTAATTATTTCTTCAGCCTCGGCGGAGGATCGAGCAATCGGTTGTGAAAAAGAAAGAAAAAAAAAAGTAACGTTGTTGGTCGCTTATTGTGCTTAAAATGGCACGTTGAGAGTTTTTTTAATTCGCTAAGTGCATGGCAATCGATACAACCGCGTTCGATCAGGACACTTCCGCTTCGAGGCTTCGGTTTAACCCTTTACCGTGACAACCTACCGACTGAAACATGCAAATGTGTCTAACTTACATGAAACGTAAATTTTTCAATCGAAGTTACAACTAGAATGATTATGTTTGAACATGTAATCTTCTTCGTAGTTTTTAGAAGTTTCAGTTAAGTATAATTTATAAATAAATTAGAATTAATATTCCAATCGTGGAAGTATAAGCTTTTAAGCCAAAACAAGCTCCAATATCTACAAATAAATCATTTTTCATAAATAGAAAAAAAAAGAACGAAGGAGAAAACATCTCAAACGTTGAACTGCGAGTCGGCTTAACTTGATTAAATATAGATATGTAACATCAGAGATGATGATTACGCTACAATCAATACGATTTAAAATATAAGGACCCGAATACGTGAATTCGAATCATTTAAAACTAATTATCGACTTAGTATGTTTCAGATTTTGTTTTTCACAACACTTTTCAGCGAACTGGTAGCAGTCTCGATACTGTTTGCCTTTACCAGAAATGCAAACGTTACGATCGCTTATCGTACAACATTTAATCAATGATTTAATTACTCTACATCGTATTTTAGGTATATCAATGATTTTTAAAAAATTAAGAACCTTAAATTACAATTTTACCTAATCAGTGTTCATCCCATATAGAGTCATTGCTGTCTAAGACAAATTCTATATTCTCTAACTGTAGAGTTTCCTTAAGATACTACCGTTAGTTTCCTCAAATAAGCGATCAGAATAAATAACAACCATCCTAAGAACGAAGAATATTACAAAATACAATTACAAGAAATAAGAGCAAAAACATGGTGAGATTCTACGAAATTCAAGCTGGACAAAAGAGAGAAAAAGCCAGGGGGTCAAGTGCCCTATGGTCAAAGTGTTAAAAACGCCTCTAAAAGTCATGGAACCGATCGTTAAATAGGTAGAAAAAAGGAAACGAAGACAGGAAAAAAAGAGGGTACAGAGAGGAAACGCTGATAAACGAGGTCGCGGTTCACAGGATTGGCGTCGAAGAGAAATCACGGTGGCGCAACGATCCTTCTTCCTTTCCCTCCTTCCACCGAGGCAGAATGATTAACGATATACCAGCAGCGTTTATCGCCCACGAATTTTCGCGCTCTCAGTTCTGTACAGGGGGGGAGAGGCGTATACGTACGCACGAATACATACACGCTTTAAATACACACGCTGTAAATGCATCTGGAATTGGCCCGATCTTGCCGACGAGTATTCAATAGGGGTGGTTCATCAGCCATCGTTCTTTTCTCTATTGCTCGAAAAAGCACACGATACCCATAGGCAGAACACCGAAAAAAATCTAAAGAACAGACTAAACAAAATGAAACGTATGTTGCTTTACAAATGAAAGAAAGATTAACGTTGTACTCTCAGAGATGGGACGATACTTAACCCGCTATCCTACTCTTGATGAGTAGCCTGAGTAGGAAAATACTGTGGATTTAAGAAACGCTCCACTTTCGGAAAGCGATAAAATGTCATTAAAATAGCTCGGTTATTAAACGAGAATCGAAGGCAGGGAACACGTGTGATCGATGGATCAAAGAGAAAACAAAGGACGACGTTGCCCCGTATGAAAGAAGTCTCCCTGCGGTCAGTGCACGAGGAGTTTCACGGGACTCCTCGTGGGAGATTCTGGATGTGTCGTATCGTCGGCGTCGGCGCTTAATTCGGTCGAAGGACATCGTCTTTCTCGGCGTAGTATCGTGGGACAAAACTGGGCGGTATCAAAGCCTGATAAGCTTTGTCGCCTCAAGCGTAGAACTCTCGATTGTGATGCGGCGCGCCCGGCTTAGGGAACGCCTGCGCTGCTGGGGATCTTCTTGGCTCGTCGAGGGCGTACGAGCCCTCGTCCTTCTTGCGCATTCTGTACACGATGAACATCACCACCAGGATCGCACAGAGCAGGCCAACTACTGCGCCACCGATCACGGCTGTAAACATAGAAATTTGAATTAGTAAAATTACGATTAAAATTATTCCGGAGTCTTGATCTCAGAGTGCTATCATTCTTGTCATCTTCTTTGTGTGAAATCTCATTGCTCTGGAACAGTTAATTTCAAATCTGATGCGCATCCTAAGTAGCTGTACCAGGCACAAGGGTTCTCCGTTAATTCAGCACGTTAAGATATTCAGCAAGTTAAGCGTGTATGTTATGCGTGGTTCGAATTGGTTAACTTGATCCAAAATCTGAATGACGTTACGGAAGCGTTGTAAATAAATTCTGTTTCGTAGAACGTTGATTCACGTGTTGCCTTTATGCTTCCAGTCTAACGGAATGGGTTAATAAGTAATGACAATCCTTCTCGTTAAATTTGTATCATACCACCATGAAATTCTGCTCTTTAAAGGAGTCGCATTCCACTAATACTAGGATAATGAAATTTTATTAGAAGAAACTGTCGCGTAGTGATAACGTAAGAAATAAAACTTTTTCTAAATTTCTTATTAAATCTTCTGTAAGAAATTTCAGTGAATTAAAATGATACAAGTGAATATAGGATAGAAGAATGAAAACTTTACCTGCTAATACACCTGGCTGAGCAAAGAAGGAGCTAGCACGGTCCTCGTGTTTCGGGTTCATGTAAACGCCGTGAATGTCGTCGTGCTTCAAGTGGTCGTCCCCGTCATCGGACTCTTCTATACCGCCCTCGTCGTCGGGTTGGTTTCCAGTCTCGACGTTCTGCAATTGGATACGATTTAATCAGTTTAATCCGATTAATTCGACCACCGAGCCGGAGGAACGTGTTTCCAAACAAATCTAATAAAACCGACTTAACGTGCAACGCGTTTTGGCGGACCTGATGAGTTTTCTCTTTGTGCAAATGGTGTAACTTTTTATTGTTACAGGGGGTCGGAGTGAAGAGATAGCATCGGTGATACACTAGCAAATACTTTAACAGGATGATAAACAGTTTTATCAGAGCTAAGAGATAAATGGTTTATCAAAGACAAATATTTGCATATTTTCAAGCTGTTAGCTTAGATCATTTACATATCATCCGAAAGTTTGTAATGGTTTACAGGGGTTTGTTTATTCGAGGATCAATGGAATTTTAACCAGGTTCACCTGTTCTTTAGTTTTAACACTTGGCTCGTCGACAGAGTATGGTGCTTTAGGTTCTGGTGGCTTGTTGGGTGTCGATTCTATCCTATTGTCGCCGTCAGAACCTGTAACAAGAATAAGAACCAATAAGAAATCACCAGAAATATTTCTATAAAACTGTTCGCAAAAGAACTGAAATTCTTTCAAGCAAAGATTTAGTTGTTAAAGAAGTTGTACCGTCATCACCGTCTTCGTCGTCGGGACCAAGGCCACTTCCGGATGCTTCAAGGTCGTCGTGATCTTCGTTGCCACTTCGTCCAGAACCTTCCAAAGGATCCTGCTGATCTTCTAGATAAAGATCGTCCTCTGAGATGTGTGTCGAATCTTCCGCCGTTATCTCCTTCTCCTTTTGATCCTTCTAAAAGAAGAAAAATCAGAATTCCCTATAATGTTCTAGTAACCCCTAGAAATGGAACTTAATTTACGCGTTTATTTCTCTTTAAAAAAAAACCTTCAAATTATTCTTGAAATTTTCACAGAATCATATTCTTAAAATCTGTTTATTCAACTTCATGATGATTTCATCGATCAACTTGTGGTTCAACAAAGAGCTAATGAAAAACGAGATGGTATACAATAGACGCTTGTCTTGCAATGGAACTGTATAAATAGGATCATTTTGTCTTGCTGTTTTTTGAACTTTTTACTATGACCAGAATAGAATCCATTCTCGTGTGTTTTGCTATCGAATTACAACACGCAACGATGCCACAGTGAAAACAGTGTTGTTTTTCTTCTTGCCTTTACCTTAATGCAGTTCGCTGTTCGGCAAGACAGAGTACGAAAAAGAAACAACGAATTCAAACGTGACCAACACTTTTTACAGTGCATATTCCAATTAATTTTTAGCTGGTACAACTCCAGCATCCTTTATTCAACTTCTCTTTTCTATGAATTTTTCTGGACGTCTGTTCTCGAAAAGTTGCATAGCGCAAGATATACAAGAGTACAGAAATGAACAATTAACAGCAGTATGGTTGCAAAACACGTCAAGGAAACTTCAGAGAACGACTTCCGGTTGGCCAACGCCACCGGAATGCGGAGTGACGTGCAACAAAGTCCAGAATAACAAATGGCTGAGTTATCGCGATTAGTCCGTGATTAATCTGCGAAATTCTTTTCTCCGCTTATTTCAAACTGTTCAGCAACATAAAAAAAAAAAAATAATAATAATACTGACTATACTATAGGAATCTTGCATTTATGGATATTTCCATTGAAATGAATGTAACATAAAAAGTAACTGTAACTGGTAACATTTCTTTTCAGGGCTTAACAATTCACTGAAATAATCCATAGACCGATCTGGTATCTGTTGAATACACCGACGAGCATGGAGAACAATCGATTGAAATAGAAGCAGAATTGGTACGCATAGAATGTACAGTTTATATATACGGTTTACGATCAAATAGAAATAGCCGTCGAAACTGGTGTTCTCGAAATTTCAATGTTACCAGAGGAAGCTAATCAAGGCACTGTGGAACTGCCGTCTAGTCACTAGACTCTAGTGTGTACCTATTTACAAAGAGTAGTTGGTTCACCGCTAAAAAGAGCATTCGTCGAGTACCAGGTCCGTGTTATAACAGCCACTCAATCGCACAAAAGGTTCTTATTGCCCATCAAGAATTGAAATTAATGTTTTCGGCGAAAATCTGTGAAACATGAAAATTAATGAACTGTAAAAACCGTTCTATTTTTCCAATTTGAAATATTATAAAATGATGGGTTACTTTTTGTAATACGGCAGTCTTTTTGTTTATGCGAATTAGAATCATTTAATTTGGAAAATTGTGAAAATGCGATTGCACGGATCGATCGAAAGGGTGAAACTGTGTAATTAAGGGTTGCTGAATACCCTTAACGAGGATATCAATTACTGTAAATTCTCGAAACCGGTTACCGAGAGCTTTTGTTCTCGAGAACAATCCCAATTTTTCGTTCGTGATCTTTTCACGATGCTCCTTTAATTAAACCAGCCAGCAGTTCGGCCTTTGCGACACACTTGCTACGAACTAGTACACCATAAATGAAACGAAGAGTACAGCGAGGGAAAATGAAATTTTTTAGAAGAAAACGTTTCAACTAGACACACCTACAGTGAGAGGCAAAAGCGAGTAGATACTGTTCAAAATAGAATACCTCGGTTAAAATTGGACTAAATAACTTGAGGTATTTTGAAAAGCTATAAAATATGTATTTTCATCGTTTTAAAAAATTACAATTTATTGAAATCGCGAAAAAAAATAGTGAATGGTAATTTTTCAACTTTAAATGTACGAAAGACATATTTTAAATTTTCATTGCAGACTCACATAAAAAAGTTGAAAAATTACCATTCACTATTTCTTTTCACGATTTCAACAAATTGTAATTTTTTAAAACGATGAAAATGTTAGTGAATTAATTTTCATAGCTTCTCAAAAAACCTCAAGTTATTTAGTCCAATTTTAACCGAGGTATTCTATTGTATTTTGAACAGTGTCTACTTTTGCCTCTCACTTACTTTTTCTCTGTATGTCAATAGATAAAAGCAAATACCATGATCTTTTCAGAATAATACAGTTCGATAGACGCATCTATCTAATTTCTTGATATTCAGAGACTTACCAATCTTCTAGTGTAACTCCAAATCGCAATTATCTTCAATTACCATAATTCTAATCAACTAAACGTTGTATAATATGAGGAGTATGAGTCACGGTTAAAAAAGAATATCGCCACTGAATGCACAAGGTTGCAAGTGCAACGGCCGCAAGCAGTGCACCGGGTGCACGCGATGGTGCGTACGGATACGTCAGGGAGACCGTGTCTCTCGCAGCTGATCGATAACACGAAATTCGTCCTCCCGGGTCAGCCACTTGCCACGTCGAATAGATTCAAGCTTCAGTTATCAGTGCTCGTTTCCTGGAGGCAAGCAGCTTATTTTGCAGTATCCATGCATTCGCACGACGTGCACCGTCTCGCTGCACACACGGATCCGCTATCTCCTTGATTTTTTTACTTTTCCTTCCCATCTGCGGAAGAAACGCAAGAATTGCGCGGGCGCGCGATGTTATCGACCTCTTTCGCGCATTCTGCCGCATTACAAGCATTCCTTTTTCCTTTCTCTAGCTTATTATCGTCACCGGGAAAGCGAACAATAAGGCTACACGCAAAACAGCTTCAGGCTAAGGGTCAAGGCTTCCAAGATCTTCGAAAATCAACGGTGTCCCGCCTTTTTCCCTCCACGATTTTCCACCGGCTAATGCGATTAACCTTTCTGAATGAAAACAAGCCCGCGGCGAACGATCAACAGCGTACAAAGTTACTTACGAATCTGTGGATGAGCAGGAACAAGTGTGTCGGCGATTTTCACGTCGAAGAGTGAAATATTTTTGGAGATAAGACGCGATACGCTTTTCAGCCAAGTGCTGACTGTACTGATGTAGTACGAGGTCGAGCCTCCAGACGGCACTGTTCCAGGGATACTCTATATAGCACGTCTATGGATATAAAACGGGAGGATCTGACCAGGACCGTATCACCGAACAATCTGGATACATTGAAACTTTTTTCCCTCGTAAAAATCGACGACATATGTATCTTCTAAATGCAAATAAATGTATACGATTCAGAGCACCGCATAGTCTGAAATTAATGAAATTCCTCTTGCTTTCTTTGTTATAGCGAATGCTATGCAGATATCGGATGGTGTTTTTTTTTTTGTCCACTTTGAGCTGAACATTAATTCTGGATTATCTGATGAACACGTTTGAATTTTGTAAAAGGGATTTTCAGATGTACGTTAAGTTGCCTGATAAGGCGATTCGTTGTGTATCATCCGTACAGTTGTAGGATATTGAAAATCCACTTACTTAACCAGACTATGTCAGGATGGATATCTATACGTGTCTCGTTCGCGGAACGAGACTTGCGTATTTGAATGGGATCGGGATCTTTCATATTGGACCTGAATCCGTGGATTTGTGTTCGGTATTCTTGCGAATCAGTTCATACATTGCTCGACGTCAGTCACGTTTTTGCATTTTCTCATTGTTTGCTTTGGTGACTGGAAAGAAATAGCCAGCTTTCTCGAAAATAGAGAAATCTCCTCCCTATATCTTGCGATAAATAACTACAAGGAAAAAATGTGAAATAAGAATACGAGAATAAATATGATGGAGGATTGGGTATTTAAACCATCATGGGCCAGAGGGTGAGTCAGCGGATTGGGTTTTGAAGGTTGAAACGTCGATAACCATGAAATTTCCGTAACAAGAGGATAATTAAACCCGTCCGAGTACCAATGGAACGAGTTTACCCAGAGAAAGGAGAGCTTGTTCGTACTTGCGGACGAATGTCTGGCCGTGCTCTTCCAGGTGAACTTCCTGGACGAAATTTCAACCGATTAGATTTCGTGTCGACCCTTCGTACAAGAGATCGATTCTCTCGTCTCCGCAAAAGGGGGCCAGAAACGGTTCATTAACTGCGTAACAGAGCAAATACAGACAGTGAGAATTGGGTAGAAACGATGGTAAAAGAAAATAGAGCTGAAGAGACAAACATTAGTTCACGGCAATGGGTTTGTTCTAAACTTCGTTTCCTCTCCATTGGTTCACGTTTAAATCCTATCTCCTGGACAATTTTCAAGGTTACATTTCGTACAACTGTTTCCAAGTTACACATTCCTTTTCTTCTTAAGGGGTTACGCCTAGTTAGGATCGGGAAGATTTTTTTTTGCTGTACTAATAAATATTTACTATGAAGTGAAATATACCATCGAACAATACATGTTTTAAAGTAGTTTTAAGATTTTTTTAAAAGTAAAATGTTCAATAATGAGGGAAATACAGCACTTCTCCTAGAACGTCCTTTTCTTGCGGTGGCCACGATATCATCCAAACCGCTTATTTGAAATCAAAACCGAAGAAGATTGAGTTAGTATATTGTATTGTTAAGGACCTGAACGAAGGATTTTGCGAAATTTTGATTTTCACCAAAATGACAACAATTCTCCTGAAAAACCTGGTTTTTGAATTCAAATTGTGTTTTTTTTGCGATAAATAAAAATTTTTCAACAGAATTAAAAATTCTTCATTTAGGTCCTTAACAATACAATATACTAACTCAATTTTCTTCTGTTTTGATTTCAAATAAGCGGTTTGGAAGATATCGTGGCCACCGCAAGTGACTTCGAGAAAGGGGCGTTCTGTGAGCGTTCCCTCATTAGGTATTTAACATTTTACTTTTAAAAAAATCTTAAAACAACCTTAGAACATGTACTTTTCGATGGTATATTTCACTTCATAGTAAATATTTATTAGGACAGCAAAAAAAATCTTGAAAATTACCCGATTCCAACTAGGCGTAACCCCT